GAAAGGTTAAAATTGACAAACTCTTAGCCAACTTTATCAAGAAAAGGAAAGAAAACACTCAAATCAATGTAGTTGGGAATGAAAAGAGTGAACTCCCATTAGATCCTACAGAATCCAGAAGATCAAATATACCTAGAATTTATGTTCTTACAAGATGGAAAATGCTGAAGAAATTCCTCGATATATATGAATTACCAAAGCTGAATCAGGAAGATATAAAAATTCTAAATAAACCAGTATCAGTTAATGAAATTGAAGATGTAATTAAAGATGCACTGTTATAAGCTAAGGCCCCCTAACTATTGCGCAGTAAGGTCTGTTCTGTATAAGCCCACCTGCTGCTTCCCCTCCCCTTCTCCCTTCACATCTAACTAGGTTAAGTTTTAACTTCCCAAAAGGCCACAAAACAAAGACCTGAGCCCGTCACAAATTGTGTTAATTGCATTAGATTGTATTAGATTGTACTATTCTTCACAAAAATAGCTTCGTTTGTATCATAGCAATACCTGTAACTTGGCCTTACTGTATATGTGTTTTCCTTTTCCCTCTGAGTAAAGGATTGATATGTTAATCAATGCTCTCCTCTGTAAAGAATTGTAAAATCTTACCTAATTGATATGTTAACCATTGTTGCCCTCTACAAATAACAGTTGTGGTGCTGAAGTAGGGTAACTAAGGTTGTTAATTGCTGTTAGGCTTCTCTATTCTTTGCTAAGGAAAACAAGATTTCTTCTTATCTAAACTTGCTAGTATGCAGGGAGACTTGCAATTGCCGTTTCTGCTTTGTAGTGCGTCACACCCCCATCCCCCTCCTTACATTGTGTGACCAGCAGCTGTTTGTGGATTTACGAGATAAAAGCCCTGACTTTTAGCTGTGAGGTGCGCAGTCTCCAAATTGGCTCCTGGAGGCTGTGTCACCAGGCCTGGAAATAAAGCCTTTGCTTCCCAAATTTTAATTTCTTGCTTCCTTGGATTTTATACCGGGGTCTGAGTTATCACAGTACTAACAAAAAAAGTTCAGATCCTAATGGATTTACTGCTGAATTCTACAAGAAATTTAGAAAAGACCTAATACCACTACTTCTCACAATGGTAATGAAATAGAAAGGGAATACTCCCAAATTCATTCCTAGAAGTAAGCCTTAACCTCTAATATCAAAACCAAATAAAGAGCCAGATATGGTGGCACACACCTGTAGTCCCAGCACTCAGGAGGCTGAGGCAGGAAGATTATTGTGACTTTGAGGCCAGCCTGGACTACATGGCAAGACTCTGCCTCAAAAACAAAAACAAAACCAAAGCAAATAACCAAAAACAATAACCTTCCTGTACACAAATAAACTCACTGAGAATTTAGGAAAACAGCATACCTTTCACAATAGCAACTAAAAAACCAAAATACTTAGGAATCAATCTAATGAAGTAAATAAAAGATCCCTACACTGAAAACTACAGCGCTCTAAAAAAGGAGATTGAAGAGGATATTGGGAAATGGAAAGATTTCCCTTGCTGTTGAATAGGAAGAAACAATATAGTGAAAATGGCCATACTTCCAAAATTGTCATACAGATTTAATGCAATGCTGGTCAAAGTTCCAACAGTATATCTCACAGAATTAGAGAAAATAATTCTAAAATTCATTTGGAATGAGAAGAGACCTAGGATAGCCAATGCAATTCTGGGCAACCAAGGCAAGGCAGGCAACATAAATAGCCCCTGAAATATACTAAAAAACTACTGTGATAAAAACAGCATGGCGGGGGCTGGGGATTTAGTTCAGTGACATAAGCGCCTGCCTTGCAAGCAGGCAGTCGTGAGTTCGATCCCTGGTACCGATAAAAAAGAGAAAGACAAAAAACAAGCAAACAAACAAACAAACAAACAAAAACCAGCATTACACTGGCAAAAAACAGACCCAAAGGCCAACAGAACAGATTAGAAAATGAAAATCAACTCTGGATATACTTAACTACCTTATTTTTGATTAAAGTGCCGAACATCTTCACTGGTGCTGTAAAAGATGGCTTTCTGCATGTCAAATATTAAAAGTAGACTCATAACTTTCACTATGCCCTAAACTAAAATAGAAATGGATCCAAGATTTAAATAGTAAAACAGACAATCTCCTGAAAGATACAGTAAGTAGAGCTCTTGAAGACAATTGTGCAGGCAAAGACTTTATGAACAAAAACTCTGATCCCACAGGAGATATCACAAACAATCAACATCTGGGATCTCATCTTATTAAAAAGCTTGAACCATCAACAGAGTGAAGAGACAACCAACAGTGTGGGAAAAAAATTTTGCCAGCTGTTCCTCAGACAAAGGACTATTGTCTAGAATACATAACGAATTTTAAAAAATTTCACTCCAAGCCAAAAGTTGGTATCTGAAATAGACACTTCTCAGGTAGAGAAGAAATAGCAAATAAATACAGGAAAAATTGTTCAACATCATTATTTTTTTTTTACATCATTGGTTATTTGAGAAATACAAATTAAAACAATGCTGAGATTACTTTTCACCTTAGAAAGAATGGCTATTATCAAGAAATCAACTAATAATGAATGTTGGCAGGGCTGTGGTGAGAAAAAAACGTAGACTGGTAAAACCACAGTGCACATCAGTGTGGATAGTCTTCAAAAAACTAGAACTACATACATGTTCTATTCAACCCAGCTCTTCCCCTTCTTGGCACCTTCCTGGGAGAATTAAAAGTATCATACCCCAGTGATACATGAGCACCCATGTTTTGTAGCAGCTCAGTTTGTAATAGCTAAATGTTGGAAACAGCCCAAATGCCCATCAACTGCTAAATGGATAAAGAAGTGGTTTTTTGTATAATGGAGTACTACTCTGCCATAAATAAGGATAAGCATGAGACATTTCTAGGAAAATGGATACACCTGGAGACCATAATTTTATGTGAAATAAAATGGACACACATTTTTGTAAATAACAGTTTCTCTGGTGTGAGAAACCAAAAATGTAAACAAGGACCAAAATATGTAATAGATATTGTAAAACAGGAAGAAAATGTTCAAATAGGAAGGGGAACTAGGGAGGGAAGAGGTAGACAGGAAGAGAAAAGAATGAGAAAAGAGAAAAGTGGAAACAAAGCCTTTGTAAAAAGAGGGAAGGAAGGGTTGAAGGAAAATAGAAAATGCGAAAAAACAGACTCAAGTTATATCATGCAAAGGTACAAATTCCCTGTAATGAATGTGATCTTTAATTACACCTAAAACATACCAATAAACTCAAAAAATGATGAAAGAAAACTGAAACAAATGATCCTATTAAAGAATAGTAAATACAATTACATAAAATAACAGAAAAAGAAGGAAAAACAGCAAAATAGAGGATAAAATGGGGGGGGGGAACCACCAAAAACTGATGAAGAAAAAACAAAGAGAAAGTTTCCAAAACAAAACAAAACGACAAAAAGAAAGCATCCAAAAAAGATTTCCTCCATGTTTTTGAACGGGCAGTTTATTGCCAGGGCCTGCAGTACCAGAACGCACCAGCTATGGAGGAGGGCAGTGAATCCCTGGTTTGCTTCCACACTGACTGTTTTGTGGTGAATGCTGCATCCTGCCCTGCCCTTCCCACTGGCCCTGCTGGTCAGACCACCAGAACGGCTCTCCTTGAATGCACTGTTACCTCCACTTCAGCCAAACCTGGCCCTGTCTCCACGTACTGTGATGTACCGCACTGGCAAAGCTTTCCTTCAACTGGCTCTCAGCACTGTAAACAGGGCTAGCTGAGGTGCTGATGGGTAATCTTTTTTTGGATTTTTTTTTTAATTTTAAAGAGAACAAAAGAAAACAGAATGAAACAAAGCAAATCAGAACAGGAAAATGCAAGCAACACAGCACTTCACAACAAACAACTGGACATCAACAGTAGCTAACATAATGTCTCTTTTTTTTGATATAGTTGAGCATACCTTCACACACAATAATAGCAAACATAACAATATAGTATAAAACCATTCAAAAGAATGAAAGCATTACAGGGCTTCAAAACCAAGTAACAGGAAATGAACAATGGGTGCTATAATACCTCATTTTCCTCAAAAAAAACTGTCTATACCATCACACATAATAAAATCAAATAAAACATAACAGAATAGAACCAATCAAAACACAACAAAAGCATGGTAGGACTTCAAAACAAGATGATAGTAAATCAGCAATAGCTACCATAATGTCTTGTTTTCTTCAAAATAGCTATTCATACCATCTCACATAATAAAATCAAACAAAAACAAAATAAAATCAGACCAATGAATGAAGCATTATAAGACTTCAAAGCAATAGAAAACCATGATTACCATAATATTTCCCATTATATTCATAACAGCTGCCCTTACCATCTGAAAGCATAAAATCTAACAAAAGACAGAACAAAGCCAAACCTAATAAAATTGTGTAAACAATGCAAGAGTTCAAAATAAGACAATAAGAAATTGACAATAGTTTCCACCTTTCTCTCCCTTTGCTCTTTTTAAAAATTTTATTTAAAGGCTAAACAAAACAGAAAATGGGTAGACATAATACATACTTTCAAAGAAAGAATAAACAGTAAGAAATCACTAGTTGATATTTACATATTGCCCTCTTACAAATAGTTATTCAAGATACAAAAGTGGAGCACATAGAGTGGGGTTTCAAACAGCGAGAGTGCAACCAGTTCTGTTCAACAAAAACTTGGAAATATGGTTATCAATCCTATACACTTATACAGGCAGTTATCCATATCTTCATTTATGTTGAGATTGAACAAACTCAAGCAGGCTAAAATCACTCTGAGCAAAGAATATTGGGTTTCACATTATGATACTCCTGGATCAGCACTGGGTCTGATGTGTAATCTTTAAAGCCAAGTGACAGCCCTGTCCCTCACCTGTGTCCCTCTAAAAGGCTAAGCACAGCAGGAAGGCAGAGCAAAAGCTCCAGGAATGTCAATGGGTTCCAGCCTCAAGCTAAGAGGCTATGACTGCTCACGTTGGCAGCGCATATACTAAAACTGGAACAATACAAAGAAGATTAACACGGCCCCTGCACAAGGATGACATGCAAATTTGCGAAGCATTCCATATTTTTGTTAACTTTCATAGGATTGGAACAATTGTGCATATTACTGTATGGTGATCTGGGGAACTCTTGAAGATCATTATGTAAAATAACCCTAGTTATGCTCCTACCATCTTTTTGGAAGGCCTGTATTGTCATTGTTTTGGGCTCTTTGCTATTGTGGTTTTTTTTTTTTTTTTTTTTTTTGTCTTTTTCGTTTTTATCGGTACCGGGGATCGAACTCACGACTGCCTGCTCGCAAGGCAGGTGCTTATGCCACTGAGCTAAATCCCCAGCCCCTGCTATTGTTATTTGTCCTTTTTGTTTCATGTTTTTCTAGGAATTTTTGTTTTACCCTCTAATACAGAAAGGATAGGTATACATGTAAAAACTCATTCATGTGTAGAACTTCTAAACAGTTTTGAGAATCAATTATATAATGCATGATGAACAGCTACTTTGAAGAAAAAGAGACACTAAGGTACCCAGTGTGGGAGACAACTCCAGTGATTCCCTTTGAATCCAAAACAATTGTCGTGACTTTGATTACTTGGAGACTCATTTCCTTATACTGGTATGTAAAAGGCTGGCCAGGGCATTTCCTTCTCTCTTCAATAGGCTCTGAGCATTGCAAGGAAGGCTAGTGGAGGTGCTAATATGCAACATCCATAGCCACCAGACAGTCTTGCTTCCTTGCATAATGTTCTCCACAAGAGATGTTAGAGGAAATAGCTCCGGGAATGTCAACTGGGTAGGAGCCTCAAGAGAAGAGGCTAGGACTCCCCAGGGCACAAGAGTTTGCAAAGATAGCCCCCCTAAAACAATTTCACTGCTACCTTAATTGGGTTATGTAAATTGATCCTCTGCAAATCTTTACCTCTGCTGGCCAGCCAGCTCAAGTTACTCAGTAATCCCTGACATCCTATCATTCATCCCTGAACTACTCCACTTTCTTCACCAGACAATAAATGCTGAGAGGCCTAGGATCCAGGACTTCGTCCGTGCGCGTCCGCACAATAATTGGATTTACGACCCCTTGGCTGCCCTTAACTTGGATCATAACTTGGTGTTTTTATTCTCACCATGGGTTGCATTGGTGGTGGTAGATTGGAACTAAATTGCTAGGGTTCCAATGACATCTCGATGGGATTATAAATATAACCTTTTGGATGATGAGGAAAACTAGAAAGAGGATTACAGTATTTGGGTGACTGAACTCGATATTTGGGTTTACAATAATCCAGTGCTGATTCCGTAGCATCATGCTGTGAAATACAGCAATACTATTATTCTTTCTTCAGAGTGATTTTAGTCTGTTTTTTATTGTTTAATTTCAACATACATGAATGTATGGACAGCTATTTTGAAGAGAACAAATGACATTATGGTAGCCATTGTTGATTTCCCTATTGTCTGGGGTTTTTTCCATTTCCATGGGAATGATCAAGTGGAATTTATTTCTCAGATGCAGGGACGGTTCAATATATACAAATAATAAATGTGACACTCACGAACTGAATAAAAATTACACAATCCTTTCAAAACAATCAACAAACTAGTTATAAGAGTATACTCAATGTCCTTAGGGCCAAGCCCATGACATACTTTACAGTAAAAAGTTGAAGGTTTTACTATGAGAGCAGGTCAAGGCAGGGTACCCATTCATACCACTTCTGCTCCTTGAGAGCAGAAATCACAGAGAGAGTGACTAAGAAGAAAAAGCAAAGGACATCAAACCAGAGAGAAGGGAAAAATAAAATTTTCTGTTTATAGATGACATGATTTTCTATACTGAAGACTCCACCAAAAGACTGATAAATGAATTCAGGAAATTTGTGGGACAAACAAAAAAAAAAATCAATGTAGAAAGATCAGAAATACACTAATGACAAACTCTCTGAAAAAGAAATGAAAAAAATGATTCCTTTTCAACCAAAGAGCTAGAAGCAAAAAGAACGAAGATGTGTTATGTACATTTAACAACTCCCCACAGTGAATGTAATCATTATGTACTGCAAACATGTACTAATAAAAATTGAAATGACAATTTTACTGTCTACTATGGAGCTAAAAATACATAATAAAGAAAAACTATTCCACTTAGAATAAAACAGAATATAGTAGTGCACATATGTAACCCCACTTACTTAGGAGGCTGAGGTAGGAAGATCTCAAATTTGACCTCAGCCTGGCTAACTTAACAGGATCCTGTCTTAAAATAAAAAGTAAAAAGGGCTGGGGTTGTAGTAGCACAGTGTAGAGAAACTTTTTTCAATCCCCAATAACACACACAAATACACAAAGAAAAAGAAAACAGAATAAAGTACTTAGGAATAAATTTAAGAAGACAAAAATCCTGCACACTGAAAATGCTGAGATACAGGTAAAGGAAACCAACATGAACCAAATATATTAAAAATGTTGAGATCAGTAACAGTATCAAAATGGCCATACTCCCTAAAGTGTCCCATGGACTCAATGTCATCATTCTGTTCTGATCGGTTTAATACTATTTTGTTTTGTATGAATTCATTGTGTACGAAGAAATGGACAACTATTTAGAAGAAAACAAGAGACACTGTGATACCCAGGGAGATGTTGTCTTGCTTTGAAATCTGTGTTACTTACATTGTTTACTTCCTATCTGCTTTGTTCTGTTTTGTTGTTTAGTTTTGCTCTCTTTAAAATTAGGAAAAAAAAAAAAGAGAGAGGCTATGACTTCCCAGGTCAGAAGTTGTACATCACAACTGAAGCACCAGCCCCCTAAACATTAAACGCTACAATTGTGTTATGCAGATTGGCCTTCCTGTATACCCTTCTCTCTATATGCTGCAGAGGTGTTTCTGGTCACTCAGCTAGCTCAGCTCTTAATATTCATGTAGTTCCCACCATTCTCACCATCACTCATCTTTTACCCACTCCCCTCTTCACAAATCAGTACAATCTGGGTCAGGCCCTGGGTCGTGGGCTCTGATCCACATCCCTCATCTGGATCGGAGTCAGGAACCCTTGGCTGCGTATAACTGTAAATGTCTTAGTCTCTTTATTCTCATCAGGGGTTGCACTGGAAGTGGTAGATTGGAATTAACTCATTCGAATTCCAATGTTTCCATGGGATTACAAATATCAATTTCCTGGACCTCGAGGAGGATGGCAAAAGGGATTTCTACACAAAGTCGTGGTTTCTTTTGCTTAGTTTTATAGCCTATGAGTACCCACCTCTAGTCCAAGCTTCTATGTCCACACAATCCAAGCTGTGGTAATCATCCAAGCCAAATTATATTCCTATCAAACTGGTAGATGGAGAAACCAAACAGACCACTGAGTTTGCTGGACGTAGGTAATAGGGCCAGGATTCAGGCAGACCGCTGGATTTAGGACTGGCAGTTTTGGACTCAGACCACTCTGAAAGCCACAAAAACCCAGCCTAGCTTAACATGGATCCCAGTGACCTTCACTGCCTGAGTTTAAACTTTTTGGGGGTGGGGAGGGCAGTATCTCTGTCTAGTCTGTACCTTCTCCCTGACTCACAGTCACTGTGGCAGGGTAATATCAAAAACTATTCCATGGCTCACTTAAAATAATTACCCCCCAAATGCTCCTAGTCCTCAGATATGGTGGGCATAGCATTGGATATCTTCTACAATCCCAGGCTGCCTTGTATAAAGGTCACTTTGAGGGTAAAATTGCAGTTTGCATAGCTGTTGGATTTTCTTAGATGCAGCCTGCTTCTCCCTGGGGCTGTCAAGCCTCTCCATTAACTTTTTTTTGTCTTTTTTCCTTTTTATCGGTACCGGGAATCGAACTCACGACTGCCTGCTTGAAGGCAGGCGCTTATGCTGCTGAGCTAAACCTCCAACCCCTCTCCATTAACTTTTAAGACAGATCTTCCTCACTGGCTGCCAGGATCAGCATTCCAGACTGCTTCGTTCTTTCCTCTGCTTTGTACTGTGTCTTTGACTTCTATGGTTTCTAGCTTCCCTAACAGCCACCTCCAGATTCTCTGAGATCTATTTTTTTTTTTTTTCTAGCTATCCCAATTCTAGATTCCACAGAAACTGTTGTCAGTCTCTCTTTTTATCAACATCTTTTCTTTAGGGCTAACATCACTAAAACAGTCTGATAAAACTCATGTGACCTCTATCAGTTAACTATGGCTCAATAATAACATTTTCCCAAATTGCAGATTTTGTATGTATCAGTTCACAAGCACACAAATTTGTTACTTTGCTATTGCGAGGGCAGTAATTAAAAATCTTTCAGGTAAGTACAATGGAATACAAGAACAAAGTCCAAACTGAAATGTTAGTTCTAACTCAATTAGACATTTCGCTTGTGGTTTTACTATCTTTATCTATCCTAACTCCTCTCCCCAAATTCAGGAGGGAAAGCTGGCCTTCAGTGCTGTCTAGGCTGACCTCAAGGTGACACAGTCATCTATGTTCTCATCTGTTCCTCTCCATAGGTGATACTCAGAGGATTCTGAGCACAACTTCTTAAGATTCCATCACTTACGGGCTGGGGATTTAACTCAGTGGCATAAGCTCCGGCCTGGCAAGCGTGAGGTCACCGAGTTTGATCCCCAATACAAAATAATAATAATAATCCCATCACTTTTAGGTTCTTTCAAATAACTGCATTCTCTTGACAGAACTTTTAGAGCATGACACCCTGCAAGTGGTAGTATTCACTTGAGCATCTCTTGGGAGCAGAAATGGTCCCCCAAAAGCAGTTAGGCTGCACTGCCAACTCGACACTCAGATCATGGACAGAACAGATGCCAGTTTTCAGGTCCACATTCACCCACAACTGACCCAACTGCCTGTGTAGTCTGTATCTCAGAATCATCATTATGCACACGGTTGGGGGGCAAGTGAAGACACCTTTCCCTTTCACGTATCTTATTCCTAAAACTGCTTCCATACTTTTATATTACCGCCTGAATCAAAGAAACGTTATCAGCTGCCCTTTTAGATACTTTTTCATTTTTGGATGAAGTAGGGTCCTACTACATAGTGGCCCAGGGTGGCCCAAGTTCCACCTGTCTCAACCTCCTAAGCACTGGAATTACAGGTGTGTGCCAGGTGACCTGGCTGTAATATGCCATACAGGTCACAGAACAGTCTTGAAACAGCCCAGAGGAATGGTTGAGAAAAAAAATCCTGGGGACACCTCACAGTACTATGGCAAAGCCCTGGATGTAGTGGCACACACTCAATCTCAGTACTCAAGAAACTGAGGCAGAGTAGGCAGTTTTGGGACAGCCTCAACTACACAGCGTGCTCAAGGACAGCTTTATTACATAGCAAGGATTACTTATAGATTAGTTCATAATTGAGCGACAACTGTCTTTAAGTAGATTTCCACTCGTTACTAGTCTGCTACTTACCTTTTGGACACAATACTAGCAAAAAATTCCTTTTAGTCACTGAGCAAGTGTAAAACTGATCCTCCAGATGAGGAGAAATGAAAGCGGCAATCACAGGGTCAAGTCAGGAGAAAGAGCTGGTATTTTTCTAATTGGTTACACAGTAGTGTGGAGGGCGGTCTAAAGTAGGACAGGAAAAGAATTAAGGATTGTGTGGCCTTATGTTGCAGCTAACCTAGCCCAAAGAATCAGCTAGTTTATAAATGTACAGATGGAAAAGGTATCAAGCTAAGTAACTTTGAATTAATTACTATGATCAAAAAATAGCTGAGCAGGGAACATACAGGGCATGTACAGTGTACAGTAGGGTTCTTCAGCTGGAAAATACTGTTATTTTTCTGTAAAAAAAAATTAATCAGATATACATCCAGTAAACAGTTTATAAAATGGTGTGATGCTCAGAAAGAAAGTATCTGTAAATACCAACTGAATCATCAGCTTATGAATAGTAACAATTTTTTTTTTGGTCTTTTTGAGACAGGGTCTCTATGCAGTTCAGGCATATGCAGGCTCTATGCAGTTGAGCTCACTTTGTGCCCCCGCTGGTCTCAAACTTGCAACAATCCTCCTGCCTCAGTCTGCCGAGTGTGGGATTACAGGCATGAGCCACCATGCCCGGCTAACAATTGAAAACTCTAAAGAGTGCTTGCCTGGCACGTGTGAGGCATTGATTCAAATCCCAGCATTGCAAAAATAAAAGTTAAAAAAAAAAAAAAAAAAAAAAAAAGCAAGCAAGTAGATTGAAGATGTAGAAAACACTGACAAAGGTTTTTGAAAACCATCAATATGGTAGAATTAAAACACGGAACCCAGGTCTAAGATACTATGTTTACATACCGTGCTCTAATGCAAATCTGTGCAATTTTTTTCTTTTTGGTACCTGGGATTGAACTCATGACAGCATGCTTTTGCAAGGCAGCTGTTTCTGCTGCTGATCTAAATTCCTGGTCCCCATGTGTGACTGTTTAGTATAAAAATATTCTGTACTGGCTAGGGATGGTGGTGTACACCTATAATGCCACCATTTGAGGCTAAAGTAGGATTGTAGTGAGTTCAAGAAAACCCTGAGCTACACTGAGATGCGTCTCACAAAACTCCCCCCCTCCATAATCACTACTGTAACAGTTTAGCAAATAACCTTTGAAATATTCAAATAAACCCTCTCCTACCCAAGTTCTAAACTTCAAGCATTAGTGAAAAAAAATTTTTTTAAAGGCAGAGTTTCATTGTATCATTCAGGGTGCTTCCAACTTACAACCATCCTCCCTCTTGCCTCAAGTCTCCCAGAGTGCTGGAATCACAGGCATGTGCCACTGTGCCCTGCCAGGTGGAGTTTTATCTTTGCTCTTTAAGTATACTTTTTATTCAAAAAGTGATGATGTTTGTCCTAACATTTTTACAAAGCTTGAGAAGAGGCCAATGTTCAGCCCTAGATCAAGAGTTGTGTGGTTCAGGTTTATGTGACTTGTGTACTAGCCAGTCTTTCCACCACCAGTAATTCAATGCCAACATTTATTTACTTCAAGTACTAGTATCATCTTTTACTTGAAAACACAGAAGACTGCAACTTTTTCTATAATGTTTAAAAGAAATATATTAGCAGTGAAAAACTATTCTAACATGTATGTCAATAATCAACTACACAGGTAGTACTCAGAGTAGTACTTTTATTTCCTATGGTATTAAACAAAAGCCAAGAAAATATCAAGTTAGTTTAAAAGGCAAATCTTACTCCTGAACGAAAAAATACAAACTGGTACTTTTATAATAGATCATTGTATTTTACATAATATGAACAAAATCACTAATGTATCTATATGCTTGGTTTCCTTAAACTACAATGAACCACAGAATAAAAGAAAATGGGTTTATTTGGGGGGAGCAAATAAACATTTTGGGGAAAAACACATAGCATGCTTTGTATTTTTTAAATTGTCTATGCATCGGCACTGACATGTAAAGTTTTAATAGCCACCACCTCCTCTTCCTTGTCCAAAATAGCCGCCTCCAAAGCCTCCTCTGCCACCTCCTCGCTGGAATCCCCCAGACCCTCTGTAGCCTCCTCCACCATGTCCTCTGAAATCTCCCCCACCGGGTCCTCTGTAGTCTCCCCCACCGGGTCCTCTGTAGTCTCCCCCACCAGGACCTCTGTAGTCTCCCCCACCGGGTCCTCTATAGTCTCCCCCACCAGGTCCTCTGTAGTCTCCCCCACCGGGTCCTCTGTAGTCTCCCCCACCGGGTCCTCTGAAGTCTCCCCCACCGGGTCCTCTGAAGTCTCCCCCATTGGGTCCACGGAAGTCTCCCCCATTGGGTCCTCGGAAGTCTCCCCCATTGGGTCCTCGGAAGTCTCCCCCATTGGGTCCCCGGAAGTCTCCCCCATTGGGTCCCCGGAAGTCTCCTCCATTGGGTCCTCGGAAGTCTCCTCCACTAGGTCCCCTGTAGTCTCCACTAGATCCCCTGTAGTCTCCACCAAAGTTGCCTCTATAACCCCCCCGGAAACCTCTATAGCCTCCACCATATCCTCTTCGATAGGAATTGGAGCCCCCTCCATATCCTCCACCGCCATATCCTCCACCGCCATATCCTCCACTACCATAACCTCCACCACCACCACCATAGCCTCCAGTGCCATAGCCTCCACCACCATATCCAGAACCCCTTCTATATCCACTTCCATTATCATATCGAGCCATCTTGGGAGGACGTGGACCATCTCCATACCTAGGAAAAGCAAAAACCCACCAGTTTAGCACTTTTTGTTCATGGTTTTGGGGAATGAACCCAGAGCTTCATGAATGCCAAGACTGTAAATCACTTAATACATCTCAATTATTAATCCCAATGTACAAATTTAGTCATTAATTTGAACATTTAATGCATAAAAAAGCAAAATATTAAAAACACTCAAGTTCAATATACAGTTTTAACATTTAAATATTAGGTAATATATTAGGAAGAGGTCCTGGGACTAACAATAAATTACGTATGTGGCATTTACTACCAATTCTTTTCTAGCATTGTGGAATATGTTTTTAAAAACCATTTTTAGTAAACTGTTCACATCTAAATTTATCTCATACCAATCCATGAAATGAGGGCTAAAAACTGTAGAAATCAAGATGTCCTACCAATGTTCCAATTCAGTACAACCTAAAACTGCTTATTCCTCAGGGGAAGCTTTTTGTACAGACTGGCACTACAAACTAAACAGCTTTTCCAAATCTGAAATATGGCTGTGATTTCTTTTAATTTCTTCACTGCTTGTTTCCCCATACTAGTCCATCATCAATTCTTACTCATTTTACTGCAAATCTAATGTAGTCACTCTCCATGTTTTAGTTCTCCCATCTGTAATATGAGTCACCTCATATCCATATATCTTAGATTACCCACATATCTGTTTATTAAACTAGTTACTGGGCTCTTTTTGTTGCAGGAGCAGATTTTACGAGAAGGCTCCTTGCTTACAACTCTTTCTGTCAAAAATAGTCACTTCTCCCCTAAACATTCACAGGTACTTCATTTGTATCTATGACACTTGTTTTGTAACTCAGGACTGTGATGCTTGTTTTCTTTTTGAAGATTTTCTTTTCAAAAATCCTTCCAATCTCTGCCCAATTGGGAGGATCACAGAATAGCCTAACAGCACTGCTTCTAAAACTATGGTGCCTGGATTTGACTCCGGCTCTATTAGTTGCTAGCTGTATGACCTAAAGACTTAAGTAATTTTTGCCTAGTTTCCTTAGGGTGTTAAATGCACACTAACCAGTGTACATTCAGCTCAGTGGTGTGGTGCCTGCAAGTGTGAGATTGAGAGTTTGATCCTAGTACCCCCCCAAAAAAGTGTACTAATAGTTGTTAGTAATAGTTCATGACCAAATACATAAGTGATCCTTGAGGAGGTATTTCTTGATGATTAGAACAATATTTAAAAATCTGAGGGACAAGATGATAGCACTGTGTTTATGCACCTAAGATAAATGATTACAAATGATTAGGAAAATGTCACAAAAATGCTGCAATGCGTAAAAAATGAAAACCACATGTGATCACTATTTAACACTCAGCTTTTTCTGTAGGTAAATACAAGGTGAGGACAAATTACAAAATCTGAAACAAATGAAAACATTTTTAAAAATTAAGAAAAAAATTCTTTTTTAGCTTGAGATAGCAACAGCTAACCACACATGGTGGTCACATCTGTAATCAGTATTCTGGCAGGTTAAGGCACCAGAATCCTAACTTTAAGCCTAGCCTAAAAAGTAGCAATACCCTTGTCTTAACATTCTTTTCTTAAACATCAAAACACTACTATATCATTTCCTGTCCTATGATCCAGTCTGGACTACATATAAACTTTTAAAGGTCTCTATTTGTTAACACGAATTGCTGTTTCATCTAAGTAACACAAACAAAAGTAACACTCATCTGAGACCTAGTCAATCTAAATATTGTATTAATTCTGTCAAGAATTTTAATTTAGACAGTGTGAATTCTCTTATCAGCTAGCTCTGGAAATCCTAGCCCTGCATGAATACCTGCCTTCTGCTTGGTCGAAAGGCAACCTTAGGGCCAGAGATTTAGGTCAGTGGCGTAAATTCCTGCCTGGCAAGCATGAGGTCATGAGTTCAATCCCTGGTTTAAAATAAAAAAAAAAAAAAAGAAAGACAACTTGATTGGAAGAGACTCACCGTGCAGCACCAATCATAAGGCTTATACCAGCTGCTGAGGGCCGAGAGATTTGTCGGATCATGTTCAACATATGTTCATTTACAGGGTCCAATTGACTGATGATGTTAGGTTGTTTGGTTACTTCAACAACCAGAGCTTCCATGGCTGCCCGGAGGGCAGTAATACAGGCAGCTGCAGCATGAGAAATTTGCAGTCTGATCCTAAAATGAAAAACAATAAAAAATTAGATCATTATATTTCACACATAGTAAATCATGGGAATAAACCAAATTGTTTAACAATTACCAATACTACATCAGAGTGACTCTAGACTCAGGAAATACAGGTATGGAAAACTACACTAACCTCTCAGAATTCACTACTAGCTCAAAGTACGATTTTTAAAACTATAAAATCTTTTTTTTTTTTTTTTTGGCAATAGGTTCTCACTATGCAGTCTAGGCTGGTCTTGTGACAAGCTAGCCTCAAACTCTTGGTTATCCTCCAGCCTCAGCCTATTAGGTGCTGGGATTATAGGCATGTGCCAACCATGGCTAGCAAACTATAAAATCTTTCAAGTCAAACAAACACCGTTTGCGATATAGGTCACAGCCTCCAAAGAGACACTCAGAAAGTTTGCATTTTCAAGGGTTCCAAAATATGTTGGTTGTATTAACCATACTCGAAGCTCTATACCATTTCTGTCAGATGGTCATTGCTGATATGCAACCTATAATTTGGTGATGGCAGTATTTACAAAAGCAGTTTAAATATGAAACACTTATTAATTTACAAGTACAGTAAAACCTTGGTTTGTGAGTATACTTTGTTCCAGAAGCATGCTTGTAATCCAAAGCACTAGTATATCAAAGAGAATTTCCCCATAAAAAATGATGGAAATGCACATGATACGTTCCACACTCAAAATATTCATACAGAAATGAATACAATATTGTAATATAAAATAATACAAAGAAAAACTAATCTATACTTACCTTTAAAAACCTTCATTGGCTGGTGTGAGGGAGACAAGAGAGAGGAGGGTTATTGTGTAGGACAACTTTCACTATCACTAATGAAATTACTGCTACAATGGAATCATCTTCTTTCCATGCAACTTTTAATGAATCTATCCAATGACACCTGCATGTGCCTCTGAGGATTTTGCAGAAATGTGACACTGCATTGTCATTAAACAGATTTATCACTTGCATTGCTTCAGAGGTGGTACTTTTCTACAATATTTTGTGCTGCTTTTCACATTATACCCAACTCCCTAATCTCATTTGAGATCCAGCTTTTTCTCCTCCACAAACAAGATCTATTCCACAGCCTCCTCCTGTTGGGAGATGATTACTCACTATCTATCAGTGACAGTGAGGAACCACTGGCTCAGTCGTGGTCATGTGATGTCCAGTATCCCATGCTACTCATATTTCAGGCATCGCTGATTTATCAAGTTAGAATTAGAAATGTTTGCTTATCTTGTGGAACACTCACAGAACAAGTTACCCACAACCCAAGGTTTTACTGTACAGTCAATTTAAGAAGTTCGTTTATAGTAAACTATACTACCAAGATTTTTTCCACTCTCCAAGAAAAAATGGGTAAAGCACCTTATCTGAGTCATTCAACTGTGCTATGTTTATTTCACATATTGCAATTTTTTTTTTGGCCTTTTTGAGACAGGGGCTCACTCTGTAGTTTAGGCTGGCCTTGAACTTGCAATGATCCTCTTGCCTCAGCCTCAGCCTCTCCAGTGCTGGGATAACAGGTGCGTACCACCATACCTAGCCCACGTGTTGAGATTAAAGCTGACTTCTAACATATCACAGTTCTAAGAAGTTTTTAGTCCAAATTTGAAAATCCGTACCAGTCATCTACAAACACAATCTGTCCATCAGACTGGACTTTCTTGGAGGCAAACAGAAGCAACTGCAAGGGAGTAACTAAGGTCATGCCTTTAGCAGAGATGGCTCGGGTTCGAATCTGCAAATGGAAACAGAGGCAAAAGAAAAATACTTGGCTTTCCCATCAAATGTCATCTGATGACAATAAGTAATACTGTGAACATTAAAACTCATGTTCACAAAGATAATCTGGATTTTCTACACTCTTCTTACCTTTTCACCAAATACAAAGAAGGGAGAAGGGTACTTCATGTCTTGGCTGCTAAATGGACAATTAACAGATGACTTATGGATAAGTGCGTTACGCCCTTCAGTGGTAAGAATTTTTCTCTTTTCCTTATGATAGCACACATTGGGGTATACACCAAAAGCCAGGAGAGAGATAACAACATCCAAATTATTATCTGGTCCAGTGTTAGTAAACACTTGTGTCAACAAACACTCTGTTAGGAAGAAATTGAAACAAAGGATCAGTTAACTGAGTAATTATCACATATGCAAACTATTTCAGTGTTAGAACAAATGACTTCTCCTACAAACCCTACTTTAAAATAATCTGGCAGGGGCTGGGGATTTAGCTCAGCGGCATAAGTGCCTGCCTTGCAAGCAGGCAGTCTTGAGTTCGATTCCCGGTACCAATAAAAACGAAAAAAAAAAAAAAAAAATCTGGCAATAATACATTTTTTTTCTCAAAATACTGTTTATAGCTTGGATCAAGTTCAGGGAAAAAAATTTCCAAAATTAAAGCATCTGTATTCTCTTATAGATTCAATCACAATATAAGCTTGGGTAATTTTACAAAGTATATTTTATCTGCTTTTGTTAAGTAGCTATCATTTACATAAGATGGGTTGATCAACTAACAGGACAACCCTTGGAATGAAGGCTGATTTCATTAGACTATACCTTTACTTCATCGCTGACTCAAAATCCTAATACAGAGAGCTAAGAACAAAGATGTATCTTACAACTTAAATGCTGATCATAGTTTTACTGGGTAACAATATTGTCATCTCAGTACAAATGTTAAAGATTCTAAAATAAAAATGTTCTTTCTACTCCTTTGATTTTAGAAAAATTATTAAAACAGTCTACAATGGCTAAGAATGATTTTGCTTAGTCAAATTATATATATATTTAAATCGGTACCAGGGATCGAACTCATGGCCTGCTTGCAAGACAGGTGCTTATGCTGCTGAGCTAAATTCCTAGCCCCTTTAAATCATTATTTTTAAGAAACTCAGCATCTTGCATCTGTCTTGCAACCCACCATATTTTTTGGTTATGAATTATAGTTCTCAATGTTTAACCTCATTGAAAAAGAAAAATACTATAGCACAATTAACGTCAATTACGGTGGAGTATCCCTATAATCCCTGCACTGTGAAACCAAGGTACGAGGATTCCAAATTCAAGCCCAACTTTAGCTATTTAGCAAGTCTCTATATCTCAAAAATAAAAAATGAAAAGGGTTGGAGACACAGCTCAGTGCAAAGGTCCTAGAATTCAATTCAATCCCAAGTACAACAAAGGGCAAAGGGAAAAGAAGGGAGATTACTGCTGCTGTATCATAAATAATAAGATCCTCTAGGTTCACCAAAGTTTTAATTCAAGCCATTTAAAATTTACTTCTCTTCTAAAAATTAACATCTCTCAAAACCTTTCACCATAACTTTCTGCTTCCTTTATAAAATGAATGAATTAATGCAAAAACCTGCTATCACCATGTTCTAAGCTTTAGTGGCATATATGTTGCAGTGGGCTATTATTCAACTGTCAAAGGTTTGCCATCACTGAACATGAAAAAACAGAGTTAAATATCTGAATCTTAAATATATCATCCATGTGCTGCCTGCCAATATGTATGTAATACTTAAATGTTACTTTGGATATAGCTAAGAATGAAAAGTCTTACCTTCTGGAAAACCAGAATTAAGCAAAATTTCTTTAAGTTGAACTTTGGCCTCCCAAGTCATTCTTAATGTAGCCATATTGAGTCTTTTGTGTTCACAAAAACGTATCTCTGCTTCTTCTCCACCCATTCTGAAATAAATTAAATGGAGTACAAAGTCATTCACAAAGACCAGAGATACAGACTTAGATTAGGAACTTTAGATTGTTCACCTTGAGTAGTAACTTCAGGTTAGGTCCATACCTAGCATCATCCCAGGCTTGAAATACTGACAAAAGTGCCACATGGTCAGAAAATCTGTTTCCTGCAAAATTTCGATGGATATAGCCCAGTCTCTTCCCTTCACTGATGAAAGGCTCTGGAAAGCAGGTAGCAGCAGCAATGGTACAGACAGCATCTCCCACACTGAAACATACGTTAAATTAATACTATAATAGGATTTTGTTACCAGCAGATTGGGTCACTGTGGATTAGTCTTTCTTGGCTGTACTAATGCTTTCATTAGCACTAAAAATAGCTTAATGAAGAATATTATAGCTGCTTTCTCCAAAAGCGGAAAGGAAAATAGGGACTTCTAACATTAATGGCTACGTATCTTCCCCGCCTATTCTCTTTGTCCTTTTTTTCTTTTTGAGACAGGGTCTCACTATGCAATCAGTTCAGGCTGGCCTTGAACTCTTTCTAGGCCAGGCTGGCCTCAAACTCACAAACTCTTGCCTCATTCTCCCAAGCACTGGGATTACTGGAGTACACCACCATGACTAGGACATATTCTGGTAAAATACATCCCCTTTCTTAGAACTATTGTTTTTCAGGGGACAGTTATATTAATCCCTCAAGAAGTACTCTTCAACCTGGTAAGCAGGAGGTCTTGAGTTCAAGTCCCAGTATAGGGGGGACTCCCTTCTAAGAAATCTGCCCTCCCAAGTTTAATCTAAGTATCTGTAACTGTCTCCTTTTCTATTCTTAAAAAATTCAGTATCTAGATACACCACTTCTTTTCACCTAAAAATAACTTTTTATTCTATATGAGCTCACTTTGATTTTACGGGGACAGGGTAAGTTATTACACTACTTTGACTATCAGCAATAAAACAAATTTAAAAAGCACTCACTAGAAAATACATCCCATTATCATCATTTTTCCAAAACGGGGCTCAATGGGGAGTTTAGCCAGGATTCGTCCTAGAGGAGTCAATTCATCATTGATATCTAATGCATCAAGCTCTGTGGGAAAAAATTGTGAACAAAAATGGTGAAGAACACTTTTTAACCTAGATAAAGATCAAGCATTTGCAGATTAAAGCTATGGTAGTGCACTTAAGACTGCAAGTAGTAGGAACAGTGACACACACTAGTAACCTTAGTATTTGGCAGGGTCCAGCAACAGGATGGTTCTGAGTTCAGCATGATTTGACAATGAGACTGTCACCAAATCAAACCACATTCTGGAGCAGCAATATAAATGATACACTAGAATTAGGTCCTTTATATAGAAAATCTGACAGTAGTCCGAAAAGGCGACAAATAGTAACAGCATTAAGTACCTACATGTCATAAAAACCTGATACTATTTTAAAGACAAAGAAATGAAATGTGGAGAGGGATAAAGTTCACATAAATGAGTGCTGGATTCATAATTCAAGTACCTATTTTGGCTCCTTCAAATTCCTTACTTGTCCAGTATACTGTACGGTATCTATAACTGACTTAAAAACAGAAGTATATGTTCTAAGAGACATACTTGAATATATAATGAGTCTTACAGTTTTCTTATCTTTATTGAGATAACATTTGGCTTTTGTTCTCAAAATATGAGACTTGTCTCATCCCTAACACTGCTCACTCACTGTAGTAAGTGACAATCCTATGTGACCAAGGTAAACGCTAGAAATTCTACTAACACAGCCCTGCTGACTCTTCTTGAGTCACTGTTAAGTGTTTTGACAAGACAAAAACAAATGGTCTAACTAATATCTGTATTAGGCAGTTAAACCTTTTGTAAGTACCTCTAAGAGTATGCTCTGCTTCAATCACAGCATCCAAAGGTGGAGGTTCAATTGCTTTGGCCAAGAACTGGCCAATTCCTCCCAGACGCAGAAGTTTTATGCTCAAAGCAATTTCATGCAATGGTGTTCGAAACATCTCTGGTGTCATATGGGTTTCGAGTCTAAAAGAAAATAAGCATGAAATAACCAGCCTCCTTATGTAAATTTATCAAACTGTTTTTACAGACACAGAATTCAGGATACTGAGTTGCCCCTTCTTTCATCCTTTTTCAACTGAGAAAGTATGTCCATCTCAAGAAACAAGAGAGTAACATGCTAGTGAGGCTGTAAGGAGAAAAGAATCTTTCTTCATTGTTTATGGGAGGGTAAACTGATTATAACCACTATGGAAATCACTATAAATTTTTCAAAACAAACAAACAAACCCACCCCTAAACCTAGAAATTCTATTTGACTCAATCCCCTTGTAGTTATCTTCCCAAAAGGCTTCAAAAATGGATGTGCTCTCTTGAGACCATAATGTTTTTCTGGGAGTGTCCTTTTTTGGGGTTTTTTTTTTTTTGGGGGGGGGGGGGGGGACGACAGCCGCGCGGTACCGGGGATTGAATTCATGACCTTGTGCTTGCCAGGCAAGTACTATGCCAGAGCTAAATCCCTGGCTGGAGTGATTTTTCTGAGGCAGCATTTCAGCATTATATGGTTCAGTTCAGGCTGGCCTCAAAACTCATGGCAGTCCTGCCTCAGCCTTCCAAGTGCTGGGATTATAGGCATGCACCACCACACCCAGCTTGAGACAATGATGTTCAGTGGTGTAAATCAGACACACAAGCTTGAACATCACATGGTTTCCTCTTATATGAAAAGGATAATAGAAAAAAAATGGGAAAAACTTTTATTCTAAAAGTTTTAATTCTGTGTTTATGTTGTCAGTTTAGTGTCACTACATTACACTATGAACAATCACTTTGCAGGACTTCTATCTCTTTTTTATCGGTCCCGGGGATCGAACTTGCGACTGCCTGCTTGCAAGGCAGGCGCTTATGCCACTGAGCTAAATCCCCAGGCCCAGGACTTCTATTTCTTTGAGTATGTCTTTACTGTTGCTATTAGCATGGTCTATTTTGAAATAAACAAAATGAGCCTTTAAAGTCCAACAAGTTATTACAAATTAATATTAACAGTGAATATTTAGTGAACTCCACATAATATGCACAATTCTAAGTATTTTACACACAGCAACCCTGTATATTAGGTATATTAGTCTAGTCTTTTACTATGCTCCCCCTTCCTTTTGCGGTCTGGAAAATTTATCTGTAATCTCATGGAAATTCTGGTGAAATAATTTTAACCTATCACCTACAGTCAACTTACAGTGAGTATAAAGATACTAAGATATATTTATATAGTTAAGGGCAGCCAAGGGGACCTGAGTCTGGTCTAGACAAGGGTTTATGAAACAAAGGACTTGACCCAGGGCTTAATTCATGAAAAAGAGAGTAGCTCAAGGATAAGTGATGGTGAGAATGGCAGAAACTATGTGAGTAATAATGTGAGCTGAGCTAGTTAAGCCGCCAAAAAGTACCTCTGTAATATGTAGAGAGAAGGAGATGTAGAAAGACCAATCCTTTTAACACAACTGAGTTAGCATTTAATATTTAGGGGGCTGGTGTTGTGATGCGTAAACTTTCTTTGTCCTAGGAAATTATAGCATCTTATTTTGAGACTGAACCCAAGTGATGGTCCTGGAGCAACAGCTCTGTCACTTCACTGGGTTAAACCATTTAGTGGGACACTTTGATGTGAGGACATAGTGCTGTTGCTTAGCTTTTAAGATTACATACCAGAATCTAGCTATTTACATTGCTTAGAACCAGCTGAGAGGAAAAGGAAATGGTTTAGCCAGCTCTGTACGTATCAGCATATGGAACGAGGCCAAGTTTAGCTAAAATGGAGGTAACTGTTTTGTATTTAAGGAGAGCCGTTCATATGGCCTTCTACATCATCTCTGACTAAAAACTGATCAAAGAACACAAACCACTCAGTAAGAACCTATCTCAAAATACAAAAGGCTAGGGATGAGTAGCTCAGTGCAAAGGTGCTGCTTTCAGTCTGTGTTCCCAGCAGGCAGGTTTGTTTCTTACCTCTCAAAACGGGCTCGGCTACAGAGGTGAAAGCAAAATCCAGGCCGCACACGACCAGCTCGGCCTTTACGCTGTTCAAGGTTTGTTTTGGATGCCCAGACTGTAGCATAGTTGGTCATGTTGTTGTGAGCCGTAAATAGTTTCACTTTTTGTCTACATAGGAAAGAATGGTTAGTTCTAAGACCCCAATATATATGGACAGCACTATTGTATATTCACTGGATAATGTTTTCCAAACCCTACTGATAATATCTACTTTTGACCACCACAAATACAAACTGCATTTTTATTATACTCTCCCTAGCTATCAATCTACTAAAATACAACGTAACATATACATACCACTTACCAGCTGGATTATCTTTGCAAAGGTATGTAACATCTTTGCCTCATTTGAAAATTGATATTATGCTTCTATCTATACAAAGTTATGCATACATGGTTAAGTAACATAATGAACAAATCATTTAAATGGGATCTCACACACAAGAGTTAAGTGATAGTCACTCAAGCTACCTCTAAATCCAATGTTAAAAGTGACCGAATTTGTATGATCTAAAGGTTATATGGCACATATCATGGCATACCTCAAGAGGTGCTGGCAAAAAGTCTGCTGGAAACCCTAAGTAATCCTAAAATTCCTTACATACATAGGTAACTGCTACTAAGTAACTGGGATTAGCACAGAATGCTATTCACTATTCTTTAAAATAGCCACTAGCCAATCATTTTTAACTGCTATGACTGAGGGACTATGTACAGAAGACAAGGAGCACAAGTTAGACATAGCCAAGTTTTAACACTGTTGTTCCCTCTTGGATCAGTTACCAGTGTATTTACTTTCTATTTAATACCCCTCTCCACTCTTGTATTTCCCAGGCTCTCATAATATTATATATAGCCCTTTAATATGTAAATGATTTTTTAAAAGGTACAGTATTTGTCATGTGCTAAACAGTGGTTATCTCTGCACTCCAAATAGCACACTACTAGCACAGCAATGATCAGTGGAAATGAGAAACAAGTGAAACATCAGCTGATCTGACTGCAGTGGGAAGCACTCAGAAATTATAATGTTAAGTTTTGTCATTGTCTACTAATTTGTGCTGACAAACACAAAAAATTAATCTTGACTATCACAGCATGTGATAAAAAATATGGTGAATTTATAAAGTTACTACAGTTGAACAGTCTCTATTCTCCCTCACTTTGAATACACATCTAATTCTTGATACTTTCTGAACTGGTTCTGGAAGTCTTCTCTAGTTGTGCTATTCTGTATCAGTTTTATGTCAAAGTATCTTTAGTTGTGCTATTATGGTTGCCTTGATGTCCTAAATCAATTCAAAACATTTATCTTTCATGGTCATTCTGACTTTGGGAAGAGTTAAAGTTGGACAGCACCAGATCTGGTAAGGTGAATGAGGACACAACATAACCTTTTTAGAGCCTGCATATCTGTTGAACGCCACTTAGGAAGCATTCATTGTACTTTTTTATTGCGGTGGGTGTGTAGAGAAGTTCATAAAACAGGATTTTTAGAACTGCTTCAGAAATTGACCAGAATGATGTGATACTAAGATCAAAACCATTGTAGGGCTGTCAGGGGGATTAAACTGCAATGTTTCTTTTTAGAAGACATTGACGATATTTTTTGATTGTGGTCCGTAAGAAGTTCATGAAAAGACGATTTCCAGAACTGTTCAAGAAATTGACAAAAATGATGTGATATGCTATTCTAACGCTGTCAGGAGATTTCACTGTAATAATGTAAATATCTAAGTATTCACTGTATTTTTTTTAATCAATCTGTGCATGTACAGTAGGACAGCAGTTTTTTTAACTGTTCATTGACGAATGTTCCAATTGGAACACTGAAAGAGACAAAACAGATTCACTGAGAACTTACTTGCAAGAGTCAATGACATAAACAACATCATTTATGGTAATGCTCGTTTCAGCAATATTTGTGGACAAAATAACCTGCAAAGAAATGGTAAAAGAAAAACTACACTTCAGAAGATATTCTACTTATGTACCTAAGACTGATTTATTTGCTCACATAAAAATAGCAGATGTGCACTAGGGTTAAGAAAAAAATAAATCACTTTCCTACTTACTATGAAAAATTTTAGCAAGCTTAAACAGAGGTTACTTATTTCCATGTATATCTATGTATTTGATTTTTAGAGTCTGGGTTGTGCTACATAGTACAGGTTGTCCTCAAACTCACAGTGATCCTCCTACCTTAGCTCCCCAAATGCTAGGATTACAGGTTACTCAACCACACCTACCTTATTCCTCAATTTAGATGGGTCACAAACTTTGGGGGTGGCTTGCTGAAAGCCTATAATACTTGTTTATTATGTATGTTACCTCTAATCCCATTCTATAATGTTTAAAACTTACCTTGGTTACTCCAACTGGTACTGGATCAAACACTTTGCGCTGTTCTTCTCGTGGAATCTGAGAATGCAGAGGTAGAATCTGATACCTATGGCTTCCTACAATACAAAATAGTTAAGGTTTATTAAACATAGGAAACTGGAGGAGTTAAAACCATTCTTTACATGGCAGGGAGAAACTGGGAATCAAATTCATGACCCTGTGCTTGCCAAGCAGGCAGGCACTGTGCTGCTGAGCTATATCTGTGGCCCCTACTACATGTTGTAATTTAAAAACATGACACTAAATTTTTCTGTTATCACATATGGCCATTATTCACTCTCAAATAGATGACAATTGAGAGAAACATACCAAAATGTGGATTCATTTCCAAATGCTTCTGCATAGTACAGATCAAGTTCCAGCCAGGCAAAAAAACCAACACAGCTCCAGGAACATTAAGGGTTTCAATGTACTTAAGAAGAGCTTCAATGAGTTCAAAAGGAGTTTCCTTTTCATTCAACTGAGACATGCTCAACTTTGTTTCTGGACCATATTCATCACCACAGATCAAGTTGCAATTCGCCTAAGGAAAAAAAAAGGGGAGGCACATTTTCAATTATCTTGGCTCATAAATTTTCTAGATTTTTCATGTTCAATCGAATGATGTGAAGTGTAGCCAGGTGAGGTGGTACATGCCTGTAATCCCAGCACTTGGAAGGCTGAGGCAGGAGGATAGTTGCAAGCTCAAGACAGACCAGCCTGGGCTACAAAATGAGCTCAAGGCCAGCCTGAGCTGCACACTGAGACACTGTCTCAAAAAAAGGTGAAGTGTTACACATAAAGAATTTAACCTCCACATAGAACTTACATCAACCAATTGTATTTTTCTCTTCTGGGCTAGTTCACCTCTCTCGTTTTTTTTTTTTTTTTTTTTTTTAAAGTCAGTACCAGGGGAGGGACTCATAACCACACGCTTGCAAGGGAGGCGTTTATGCTGCTGAGCTAAATCCCCAGGCCCTAGTTCATCTCTCCTTAGGCAATCTGATGATCCCCCATTCCCAGGTCACCATACTGGTATTGACCTTAGTGTAGGCACTTGATCTGCATGGTGCTATGCAGCTCAAAAGGCACTCATGTCAGTTACCATCCATCTCAGCCTCCAGAGTAGCTGAGACTATAGGTATAGTCCATCTCATCTGGCTTATTCTGAACTTTCCCTCTAATATTCCCAAAGGACACAATTAAACTTCAAGAACTAAGTTTTTCAGGTATTTTCCTTGTTAATGAACTATTCATCATTAGTAATTTTTGATCACTTCATCTATTTCTAAAATGTTTTATATCTGTTCCATGTATTCTATTTTAAAGTCAGTGATATATAAAGACCTCAATGAGAAAATTGAAACACAACTGGTCTTTTTTCCTCAACCAAGTTTTCCAATATGCTGTACGTATTCTTTTTTTCTTTTCTTTTTCTTTTTTTTATCGGTACCAGGGATCGAACTCACGACTGCCTGCTTGCAAGGCAGGCGCTTATGCCACCTAGCTAAATTCCCAGCTTCTGTAGTATTCTTAAGAGGTTGATTCTCCGGATACTTTTTGTATCAAATTCTGCACTGTTGTCTGTTGTATAGCAGTCATTCTCTTCAAATTTCCAAGAGGAAGATGCTTTTTTACTTTCATTTGTCTCAGCCTCAAGCATATTTAAAATTAATGTCCTTTCTTTCCTATTTCTTGGTAGAAAAAAATCCTTGTTTTTCCCTGTTCAATGCTTTCTCTCTTGAATAGTTTTATTACTGCCCAATTTGGAAGGTGCTTAACCTTTGTGGTACAGATGACCAAGGGATCTTTTTAAAATACAGATTCTGATTCAACATATCTAGGATACAGCACAAAGTTTTCTCCTGTCTACAAGTTTCCCAGGTGCTCTGGTGTAGAGAATATGAAGTAAAAGTCTACTGTAAGATATAATTGTTTCTAGGGGGTGGTGCTTGAACATCTTACAATTTGTATGTCAAACAAAATTTAACTTACTTTAGAAAAATGCATAACACTGAATCTACAATTATTTGGATCAAAATATATTAATCTACAGACAATATAGTTTTTAAACAGTGTTCTATAAAGCTAACTCATTCTGTTTTTACTAAAACTTTTTTCTCCAAAACCAACTTGCCCACAATAAAAATTCTTTATTAGATTCACTTACATCATCATCCTCACCACTATCCTCTTCCTTATCCTTCTTTTTCTTGTCCTTTGGTGGAGGAACAAACTGGGTCATCTGAATACAGTCTTCCAAAAAATACTCTGCCAGAAACAATCCACTTAGGTTAAGTACAAACTATCAACTCTCAGAATACAGCAGTCTTAAAGCCATTTGCTAATTCCTATCTCACAATTCCTTACTATCTTTCAACTTTATTCTTTACAACTGCCCAGAAATTACGATAGCAATAACTTTTTTTTTCTTAAAACTTTACTATTTCACTCTTAGATCCTAAAGGAGAGCAAAATGTAAGTTATATCTATTCCCACAAAGTCAGTTCTCTGCACAACATTAAGCTAAAACTTTTTGGAATGCCCATCACCCATACATTATGTATGCTAACTGCAGATGCAACTCCTGAATACTAAAATGAAACCTGTATTTATTTCACTGAATTCACTGATGTATGATGAACTGTGATTTAATACTCTAATGTGGCCTTTATTTTAAATGCCCTTAATGATTACTACAATCTCTAAAAAAATCCAAATCCTACTGTATAAATATTTATACCACCCTTCCTCACTCCCACAAGGTTTACCTTGAACTGGGAAAGTTCTCCCATAAACTTCAATGATAGGGCAATTGAAGAAATATTCACAAAACATACTGGTGTCAATAGTAGCAGACATAAGTACAATGCGAACTTCAGGATAAGCCAGAACCACATCACGCAAGACCACCAAAAGAAAGTCAGTCTATTAAAATATAAAAACACATGAAAAGAAACTGTATGAAACATAGGGCATGAGATCCATCTAAAAGATTTATGTTACACAGCTACGAAATCCCTAAAATTCAGTGTCTTAGAAGGCTGCTGGCAGAAGTGCAAGAAAAAAAGGTTATTATGAAATAGTGACAGCATTTTTAGGGAACAGATATAGCCTAAAAACCATGGCAGTGCTGGGCAGAGGACTGTCACAAGTTTGAGGCCAACTGGGAATCACAGGTGAGTTCAAGTGTAGCCCAGACTACATAGTGAGACCCAGTCACAACCAAATAACTGGGGATAACTGAAAGAGTGCTATTTAGATAGGGGAAGACAAGGACACAGAGTATTAAGAACATCAATGAATCTATCTCCAGATTTTTAGTGAAATTTTAATTAATTAGAAAAAGAAAACAAAGCTATAGTGACCTATGAGACTCATTTTTTAAATGCTGAAAAGACACTCAAAACAATGGTGAAGAAATTTATTTTTTTCCTTTGTCTTTGAAATAAAGTGGATTGGGGGGGATAAATTTACTTTTCTTAAATATGAATTAGTTTTGAACCCAGGACCTTTGCACTGACCTATATCCCCAGTCCTTAAATTATATTGTAGTGTCACGGTTAAATTGCCCACTAAATTGCCCAGGCTGTACTCAAACTTGCGATCCCTTAGCCGACCTGCACTACTGAGATTACAGGTGTTATGCTGCCCTGTCTGCCTAAATATTATTAATTAAGAGAATATAATTTACTACCTTTGAGATTTTTTTTTGAACGACCACCACATTTTATTTTATTTATTTATTTTTTTTTTTTGTCTTTTTCATTTTTACCGGTACCAGGGATCGAACTCACGACCGCCTGCTTACAAGGCAGGTGCTTATGCCACTGAGCTAAATCCCCAGCCCCGACCACCACATTTTAAAAAGTCACTGACACATTACGCACATTCTTTCCCAGAGTGTGAATAAATCAATGAATTCACCTACTCTTGTAGGAATCTAGGTGGCTTCTAAGGTTTTAAACTATTTCCTTAAATCTGCTGGGTGACATGGTATGGAAAGGTAAACTTTTAAGAGTTAAAGTGAAGGGCTGGAGGTATAGCTCAGTAGCACAAGCACCTATCTGGCAAATGTGAAGTCCTAAGTTCAAGTCTCAATACAAGGGGGAAAAAGTTACAGTGAAACTATTTTCCTAACTGGCTCAATAATACACATTCTCCCACAAGCATTGCTAAAAAACAAAACAAACCAAACTCCTGCTCCATACACTTGGAATTGTCATTTAAAGTGTTATAAACCAAACTGATAAAGCAATATCGTAATGGGAGTTTGAACTGCACTTTCCTTATTTCCCAATGAGACTGAGTAACCTTACAAACTTATTAGCCAAATATTTTTCTTCTATAAATTGCCTATTATCTCATCTCTTATCTTTCTGAGTCACCTAGATATTTCTTACTAATTTGTGGTTGTTTATATTTTTATACTAGTAAATTGGAATCATCTGGCTTAAAAGGAATAAAATCTTAGTTTTAATATAAATTACATTAATTTGAAGATAGACTGACATATTCAGAAAAGTACAGAACTATCATTGAGTACAGTAACTATCTGGCCACATGTATCTTCCAAGCACATAAATGTGGTTAATCCAAATTGATATACTTCTGTGTAAATAAAATACACAACAGGTTTTAAAGAATTCATGTGAAAAAATTTTAGAAAAACAACCTAATTTTAAAATTGACTACAAGACTGCCTGTAATCTTTTTTTTTGTCTTTTTCCTTTTTATAGGTACTAGAGATTGAACTCATGACTGCCTGCTTGCAGTTGCTTTATGCCGCTGAGCTAAATCCCCAGCCCCTGCCTGTAATCTTGAATTCAAACATTGCTGTAACCTGGGTTACTTACCTAGTGAGTTCAAAGCCATCCTGAACTACATGGTGAGATTACCCAAAAACAAGACCCACAAAGTTTTAAAATTACATTGCCATTTAAGCCCTAAATCTATCTGGAGCTGATTTCTGTATCTTGATTATGAGACAGTAAACTAGTATCAACTAGTTCCACATGGATGACCACTAGTTTTCAATAACATTTCTCCACTACTATTTCTTTCAACCGTTAAGCCATATACATGAAATACCATAACTTCAAAGTAAGCCTGATTATCTGTAAGGCAGAAAGACTTCATTCTGCTTTTCTTAAGAAAGACTGGTTATTTTTAGCCTCATGTCATCCCAAGAGTATTTCCAACCATTTTAACAAATCCTATGAAAAAGTCTTCTGGAATTCTGATTAGACTTGCCTTTAAAAAAAAAAAATAGAAACAAAACAACCTGTTAACTTATTTGGGGAGAATTGGTATTTCTACGCTATTTAGTCCTTCTATTTATCATCCATTTTTCTAGTTTTACAATAAATTTTATTTTTCCTACATTGGTCTTGCATGTTTTTGGATTTATTCCCACGTATTTTATATTCTGACCACTGCAAAAGCATCTTCTTTTCAGTTGTTTGCTAGCTGCTTGCTCAGAAATGCAACTGACTTATTAATCGTTTAGCCAACCATTCTGTTAAATTCTATTATCTAACAAATCTGTAAGTTGTTAGGTTTTTTGTAAAAGTAGATAATTTAGGTAAGTCTCATCTGAGAGAGACGAAATAAAAAATTTCTACTCAGGCACGTGGCATATAGCTATAACTCTGCACTTGGGAAGCTGAAGCAAGAAGATTACAAAGTTGAGCTTCGTATACACAGTGAGTCCAAGGCCAGTATGGACTACAGAGCAAGACTCTCAAAAGATTAAAAACAAAATAAAATACAAATCTCTGCTAAGATTTTCTCATTTTTCATTGAAAATGGTACATTAATATAAACAATCTTAAAAAGCTATTTTTAGGATAGTGATGATGATCCATTAATATTATTGCAGAACTTTCAGTAATTTAAACCCAAACACCACTTGTATGTTAATATTCAAAGAAAATTCTGACACAGAGGGACTAATATCAAGTTAACCAGGAAGAAAAAAAAAGTAGGGGATGGCATCTGATCTCTAGAAGGGGTGGGGGAGAGATTGAAGGTATACTTTTGTGGTAAAGTACATGACTAGCTCTGATGAGGCCCTGAGATCAACCCTTGCAAACAAAAGTTACTAAGAGATTCTCATTGACAAAAACAGCAAAAATTTAGTTTTACTGAAGAAATATGTGATTGTATTAATCTAACACTCAAACTACTCTATTTGTTGCAGCTAAAAAAGAATTACAAGAATAAAAAAGTAACTGGTTCTAAAGGTATTTTCCAAAAAGAATCAAATCCAAGAACTGTATTATGTAACACAAGCTTGAATGAACAAAATAAACACTGACATCTTTCAAACATCATACAATTATATAGTTGAGGTTTTCCAAGGACCAAGACATAAGAACAGAAAGTAAATTCCAGTGTGAGCTGGGTATGGTGGCACACACCTGTAATCCCATCACTCGGGAAGTAGAGGAAAGATTGGTGCCAGTTTGAGGCCAGCCTGGCCTACAAAGTGAGTTTAAAGCCAGTCTGAATTGCATAGTGAGACCCTATCTCAAGAAGACAAAAGGCAAAACAAAACAAAATTGTGATATTATTTGACATGTATAAAAAGTAGAGCTATAACATTAAAGGCATCATTAATCAGGTTAAAAGAAAAATTTACAAATCACATAAACTGCCAATTAAAGAGAAAAATTATAATATTTCACACCAGCTGCCTGGTGTCCCAGCACTTCTGAGGCAGTCAGGAGGACTGCCCTGCCATGAATTGAAGCTCAGCCTAGGCTATATGGTAAGCTCAAAGTCACCCTGAAGGTGACCAAGGTCTTATACAGTAAGACTGTCTCCAAAAACAAAACAAAACAAAACAAAACAAAACAAAAAAAAACACACTAAGTAAAATTCTACTCAGCTACACAAGTTATATATTATTAGATATACCTGCTTACAGCATAAATTATACTTTAACAGTTCTTAGTTTTAAAATGAATTTTGTGCATATAATCCCCATAACAGGATGAGTTAAACACCTTAGTAACAAATGGTCACAAGTTTGGTAGATAAATTGGTATGAGTGGGAAAAGAGAAAAAGCGTAACTTCCAAGTTACTTACATTAATGTCTCTTTCGTGTATTTCATCAACAATTACATGACTGATTCCTCGAATGCCTGCTTCTAATTTTCTCAATAGAACACCTTAAAAAGAAAGAGGAACAACTAGGGATGTGTTTTTATGTTAATTAGATATAGGGAAGTACAAAACTGAAGAAGCTAGCTTTGCCATAACTATACTTCAGTAACCCCCTAGCATTTTAGGAACTCACATACTTAAAATTATGAGAAAGGCAACTATTTAGTCTAAAATACATTTGTTTTTCATTAATTTTATGGTTTCATCTTCTCTAAAACAACCAGCAGATCCATCATACTCTTTATGAAGAAAAAGTACCCCAAGTTCTTACTTAAGTGAAAATTCTAAGATTTGCTCATTATTTTCATGTATCTTATCTAGTTAACTTTGTTTACAAACTGGCAATACAAACCAAACGAAATCAAAATACTTCACTGACCTACAGTACAAAACATTATGCTGGCATGAGGACGGGGAAGTATAGACTCAAATCGAACACTGTAGCCACAGCTTTTTCCAGGCTCCTCTCCTCTTTCATACGCAACTCGCTCTGCCACAGAGACTGCACTGATCCTCCTAGGCTGAAACAAAAAAGAAAAGTTTTGTTTTGTTTTGTTTCAGGCAAATCATTATACTTAAGTCTAAAATTAATTTTTTAAAAATTAGAAAATGATTAATTTTATACCAGACATTTAAAAAAATGTTTTTAAAGATACTTTTTTTTGGGTAGAGAACTATGACATTCAAGTCAAACACACAAAAAGCAGGTTCTTCTAACTGCCTGCTACACTGAAAACATATTGAGGAAATTATTTGAGACATTATGGAAAGCAGGAGGAAGGTGGATAAACCCCTTTGGCTTATCTGCTGTGAATATAGTTACAGAAGTAAATTTAAGACCCTGAAGGATTAGAAGTTCAATCAAAACTTACCTGTACGCTTACAACATAACTTAGGAAAACCAGAGGCATTTAGAATCACTAAAGAGTAAAAAACTTGAATATTCATTATATTTTGACTAGTAACAAAAATTTCCATAGTTAAATCTTAAAGTATAGGGCTGGTAATACTCTTAGTTTACAATCAACTATTCCATATTTATTCACCAAGGAAAGAGACATTATGATACACTGTTGAACACACTGTAGAATTTTCCTGAACTGGTCATTATTTTAATGTACCCTGACTTAACGATGCCATCTTCTCTGACACTAAATTTAACTAATCACCTTTACTCAGAAAGGTCTATGAATTCTTCTAAGACATATCACCATTTTCTTGAATGTCTCCCTAATTCCAGAATTCAAACAGGCAAATTATAGATATTATATACAAGTTCTAAAAGTTCAACTCCTGTAACAGAGATCAGTTGTTTAAATATTAACATATATTGTTTGGTGTGGAAACACATGCCTGTGACCCCAGCACTCAGGAGACTGATCTGGGCTACAAAGTGAATTGAAGGCCAGCCTGAACTATAAAGTTAGACCCTGTCTCAAAAAAGTTAGGCATGCTGGTGCCATGTCTGTAATCCCAGCACTAGGGAGGCTTAGGCAGAAGGCTCCCTATGCGTTGAAGTCCAGCCTGGACTACACAGCAAGATCCTGTCTCAAAACCAAACCTAATCACACATTACATGTCCTTATCTACAGGTATATCAACTCAGATACAGAAGCAGTATTCCACATCTGAATGATTATGAATACTAATGTCACCGAAGCGCTCTGTATACTACAGAGTTCTGCCATGTGTGTTAAATCAGTAGATATGGAAAGGACATAGCATTAAAGGTATAAAATAATCACACAGTGCTCTGGGCTCTTTCAGAAGTCATTTGCATTCCATAAGCCAACAGGTAAATGGTCAACACTACCATCATCCCTTTTCCATTTTTGTTTTCTTCTCTAGTTTTTAGGATTTCTACCAGAAGTTAGCTTATAAAACTTTAAGTATCTGACTCTTTTTACGATATTGATATATTACTAGAACAAACTGCTTATTTTATCCCCTTAGAATTACTTCTCAGTCTGCCATCTTTGTAGTTTTCAACCAGCCACTAAGAGACATGGGCAGAAGGTGGCCTGCCACTACTATCTTTAAAAACAAAACAAAGCAAAACACAACATCTTCAAAAACGGAAGCACCACCAAAGAGGTGTAAAGGAGTACTACTTTACTAGTGTAAAGGGGTACTACTCCTAACCATAACCTTCTTGGAATAGTTCTATTCCATGAAGAACTTGACCTTTGTTAAATTCTTTTATATCCTAATTGAGAATGAATGTCCAATAACAATTGCAAGTCATCTAAAAAGGTAACTATTTTCTTCTGTATTTTCAAATGTTTTGCAAGCAACATCAGATTATTAAGGGACTTAGGTGTGCACAGTCCAAAGGCAGCCAATATACAATGGATATGTGTGAGAACTTACACTAAATAGAAAAGTGCTTCTGGATGAGATGTTAACTTGTAACATATGTCTAACATGTATGATTAGCTTTCTATAGAAAGACATGATTATTAACCTTCTGAAGAAACAGGTACAGTGACTCTAGTACTCAAGAGGCTCAGGCAGGAGGACCACTGCCAGTTTGAGGTTAGTTTGTGCTACACAGCAGAACTCTGTCTCAAAAACAGTCATTCACACAAAATCAGAATACAATGGCTTGCTAAGTAGTGCTTCCATGCTACTAGAAACTTTTCAGCAGGAGTCAAGAGAAGCATCTACTATAAACACTCCAAAAAGAACCAATGCCTCAAATCTCTTCCAGGTCCACAATTCTGTAAGTAAGAAATAAAAATTAAAATACCACTTAGAACCAGGCGTGGTAGTGTGTGCCTGTGATCCCAGCATTTGGGAGATCGAGGTGGAGGATTACTATGAGTTCAAGGCTACAGGTTTGGTGAATAAATGGTTTAAGTGGGAAAAGAGAAAACGAAGAAACTGTATTTCAGTTTCTCTTCATTTAGAAAAAGCCTAACATACATACACTTGTTCATTCATTGCTATAACTGCTCACACTGGGTTTAGACTTTCAATCCTCCTGCCTCAGCCTCCCAGAAAGCTGAGATTACAGGTAAGTGCCACCATGGCTGGCAAATGAAAGTATTTTTATACTCAAATGTAGAATGTTGGGCCCATGACCCACTGTGAAGCTCAATGCTGTTCCATTACAGAGATATCTGGGTATCAGGCTGTATGGATAAAACCACCAAGAACGTCTAAATTATTTGTGAAGGGACACTAACTAGTAAGCAAGTAAGACAAAAGTCAGGCTGAGAGGGCTAGGGATACAGCTCAGTACCATAAGTGCTTGTCTAGCAAGCACAAGGTTCTGAGTTTGATTCCCAGTATTAAAAAAGGAAAAAAAAAATGCTGGATGTGGTGAAACACCCCTCCAATCCCAGCAATCAGGAGGCTAAGACAGGAGGATTGTCTTAAGCTTGGCCACTCTGGGCAGTGAGTTCAAGAACATTATGGCAGGCTGGGGATTTAGCTCAGTGGCAAATCCCTGCCTGGCAAGCGTGAGATCATGAGCTTGACTCTCTGTATCTACCCTTTCAAAAAAGAACAGTGTGGCTGCATGGTAAGACACTTTCAAAAAACCAAGAGTACTCAAGTATCCTCTTCTGTCAAATAGTGCCTCTTAAAAAGGTACTCCCTGCTCCTGGAAAGACTGCTAAGATTAAAAACAACAATGTTCTGTTGGACCAGTGTTTGGGGCTGCAACTTTCACTTTAAGGCAGAAAGAGTCACTGTAAGTTTGGGGTATAGGAAGAGAAACCAAAGATTTCTCACTCAAAAAATAAAAGTGAAGGAACTTGCCATCCTTAAGCTATGGATTCAATCTCTAGCAATGCAAAAAACAAACCAACAATAGGATAATTATTTTAAAATTTTGGAATATTTGCACATATTTAATGAGAAATCTAGCGATGTAACTCAGGCCTAAACTTGAAAGTTGCTGAGCTATGGTGGCACACACCTCTAACTCTACCACTTGGGAGACTGGCTGAGTGGGGATATTCACTTTGAGTTCAAGGCTAGCTTGGGTTACACAGGGAGACCCGGTCTCAAAAAAACAAACAAACAAAAAGCTCCAATCAAACAAAAACCAACTCAACAGCCACCAAACACTAAATTCATTTACATTTCTTATCTATCTTAAACATAAAACCTGAAGGAAGGGCTAGAGATTTAGCTCAGTGGGGCAGCACCTGCTGGTAACCTCAAGGTCACGAGTTTGATTCTCCATAACAAAAACAAACAAAAAAAGTCCCAAGTATCCTAAAAGTAATTCTGTACAGTATTTTTAGGGTGTCTGTATTATCACTGAAATCCGCAATAAAGTTGGTATGAAGTTTCCCAATGTGATGGTACCACTGTACTTAAGGAGTTGCAAATTTTGAAGCACTTCAAATTTTTTAAAATTTGAAGGTATTTGCAAGCCTATAATGTCAAGAATCTTAAAAGATATTATTTATTCCTTATAATAATTTTAGGCCAAAAAATTCAAGTCTCAAAATACAATTTATAAAATGTACCTCTAGTTCTGAAATATTCTTTGTATACTTATATGAACACAATATTCACACTTTTTTTTGGTATTTCAAGGTTTGACACTAACCAAATGATGATTTATGCTACTTAGGAATTTCTATGTCAAAGTGTTTTCCTACCTGAGATAGGTGTGGAGCTTTTGGTACTGCCATCCTTCCAAGTGCTACAAGAACTAGGTTAGAGCTAAGGGCAAATGGCTTAACCCAAGAAAGTTTGAAAATGATACTTTGAGGGGCTAGGGATTTAGCTCAGTGGCATAAGTACCTGCCTTGCAAGCAGGAGGTCGTGAGTTCAATCCCTGGTACCGATAAAAAATGAAAAAGACAAAAAAAAGAAAAAGAAAAATGAAAATGATACTTTGTTTTTCCCTAAGCACTAGGACAAACTTGTCAGCACTCCTCAATGTGGGTAAGGTAGTACGATACAATAAGAAACCTGAAGGCACCTAACTTCTGAATACCTGTCCTATGCGTTTCTCTGGAGCTCACTGAAACATAACTCGAAAATAAAATAGTCCTTCAGCCTGGGTGATTATAACTTGCAACAAATGCTGGAATACAGTTAACCATTTAGTAAAAGGTCATTATTACCTGTTTTGCTGGCTTGCCTAAGCTTGCTCAAACTAGTTTTTTTCTCAACATTAATGTGTTAAGAAAGGGATTGCCATTATTTTGAAATGAAATGAAATGCAGGAGAAAGAATTGTATTCTTGAATTTGATTTTAGGCCCCGACACTCCCTTGAGCTTAGTAGGTATGATACAGGAAATTAGAAATGGATATAAACAATAGTAATCTGGCCTCTAAGCACTGTCAATTCTCAAACTGTCCATTCACCTCATAGCAGCTACTTACCTGAGTTACTACAATATTACACTCTGCTGCTCGATCATTCTGGATAAAGTCATCCAGGATAAACTGTGGAACCTGTGTGGTTTTACCACATCCAGTAGCCCCTCGGATAATAACAACTGAATTTTGATTAATTGCTTCCAGGATTTCACTTTCAAATTTCTTCACAGGTAGAGACTCTCTCTCCTGTAAGACCTGTATTAGGAAAGTTGTATATACAGTCAAATTTCTACCAACAGTTATACTAGGAGCAAGTATCTTAATTCTTTAGGAAACTAATCTATAAAAACTTTCCAATGGGTTAATACTCAAAATATTTTTCATAAGAGTATTATTAGTATCTGCAGTTGAAGTACCTCTTTTTTTCGAACTACCTCTTTTAACTAAATATCTTTAGAACTATATTTTTGACATCCTTATTTTCCTAGTTTTCTGTACATAGTCCCCTTTTATCACATGCTGTTAACGCATATACATTAATGTAACAATAAGCTTGTTTTGTCTAATAAATACTGAAAAGCTACTATCCAATTTTCTCTGCTTATATTAAATTGCATCAAGAGTGAAATGATATTTCTTCTCAGGACTTCAACTCAGAGCAACTGCCCCTGGAGTTAACTAAGATTAGCAGTTTGGCAACTGGTTTTGGTTTACCCTACTAAAAGAGTAAAATATTCATTATTTGCCCATACATATCTAAAATGTGCATCTCTAAGTACCAAATTTTAAATACTTCAAACTTACTGCTTGCAAATCTTGATCATGTTCTAGCTGGCACATTAATTCATTCTTAAGATCCATACTTATTTGTTCTGGAGTAGCCTGTAAAATGGGAAAGCAAATTCAATCAAGAATGCATTTTTTTGCCTAGGCATACTAATGAAATATATCTGGAATAAAACAGGATGTTCATCTTAAAAGCACTGTACTACTCACATAAGCCAGGGGCCCCTCATCAATGTTACAACTAGTCCAAGGATTCCAGTTGGATTGTGGAGGTGACCAAGGAACCACACCTATTTGGTTTTGTCGTTGAGATGGTTCAAAGTGAGCCAGTTTCCCAGTGTTGAATAGAACTGGCATAGAAGGATCAATAGGCTATTAAAAAACAAAAACAAAAACATAGTATCAGTTGCTTGTTCAATCACATAAATTTCCTAAAGCAAAGTAAAACTCTGCATACTTACTGGAGGCACAATTTCAAGATTTAGCTCTTGAATCACATTTATCAACTGATGCTCTAAATCAGGAGAAATGTTAACTCTGTAAGGCTCCACCTACAGGAAAAAGGATAACAAAAATCATGTAAAACACATGAACAGAAATCTACTATGGTGAAGCTAACGGTATACACTTAACACAAGACTACAATGCAATATCTCTAAAACAGCAGTTAGTTTTAAAACTATGGCTTCAATTATTATTCTCTACCCACTAGGAACACAGAATACTGGGCACATTTTTCTGGTCAATGTGGCCATATTATTTGATGTAGTCAGATTCTTAGAACTCCAAATGAAGCTTTTATAGCCAAATACATTCTAAATAAAGAGAGCCCTTGACTCAGGAGAGCTTATAATATCTTATGGGGGCACTAAATTCAAAGACTCACTCTCTCTCCTTCTTTCTTCTTTGTAAGTCCAGAATAAGCTTCAATTACTTCAAGATGATAGAGCTGTCTGACAAGTGACAGAGCACAGGACTGTGCTGCCAACTTTTTATTTGATCCATGTTCACGTGCAAAAATCCCTGTAAGATAAAAGTCAGGATTACCAAAGATGCAAAAATAAATCATCTGAACAAAGAAATATACAAAGAGGCACCAAAGTACCAAAGAAGCCCTATATGCCACAGGTCTTAGTTCCTTCTCAATTGGTGTATTAACTGAATACTCAGTTCTATTAACTTATAAATGATCAAACATTTTGATTACAGGCTGATTCCGAAACAAGCCAACAAGATGAAAGCAATTTATTTTTAACAAAGCTATCATTATCTGGCATTAAAACAGGAAGAAAACGAAAAAGTTTTTCAAAGAAAAAAACCTGACATTAATACGAGAAAACGAAACTTTTGCAAAGAGTCTAAAAAACAAATCATAAAGAATTGGGTCCAAAGTGGCTACTGAGACCACAAGTCAGAAAATCTCCAAGAGGTCTGGATAATCTCAGCCTCAGGAAAGCTAAGAGGATAGCTATATGAGACCAGCATGGGTTATACAGAGTTCAAGGTCAGATTGAACTATAGTGAGACCCTGCCTAAAATACAAAACCCCAAACCAACCAACTAAACAAACAAACAAACAAACAGTAAGGGCTGAATTGAGAACTCTCTCTCACTGGTGAAGTGGGATGTGAATGTAATCAGTTACTCAGGAGGTTGATTCAGGTGATAGCTTGAGCCCAGGAGTATGAGGCCAGCCTGTGCTGCAACATAGTAACAACTTGTTGCAAAACAAACAAAAAACTGAACAAACAAAAAACCAAAGCAACAACAAAAATAAAATGAGTAAGGCTCTGCAAGCCATGTAGTCTTAACTACCCTACTGACAAAACTTATATTAGTGCCATATAAATTATACTCCTGTAAACTAAAAATGATTTTTATGTTAGATTTATATATATTCTGAGAAGCTGAGGCACAAGCATCCTAAGTTTGAGTCCATCAGGGGCAACTTAGTGAGTCCTTGTTTCAAAATTTAAAAAAAAAAAAAAAAAAAATTTGAGGTTACAGCCCAATTTAAAAGCCTCAGATTTAATGCTAGTACCAGAGAAGGAAAATGAGTTGTAAAAACAAAAAGTTGAGACATCTGTGACTTGGAAAGCCCAAATATTTGCTATCTAGTTTTTTATACAAAGTTCCACGTACTTGACATAAAATACTGAATGTAGCTGTGTTATAGTAAAATTTTACCTATAAAAACAGGCAGTAAGCCAGGTGTGGTGGTTCACACCTGTAATCCCAACACTTGGGAGGCTGAGGCAGGAGGATCAACAAAAAAAAAACCAGGCAGTTAAGTTGCATTTAGCCATAGTAACACAGCTGCTGATTCCAGCTTTAGACTGAAACTATCACTGCTCACACTGTTAACTACTGAAAGCACTGATACATAATATAAAGTTGCCTTTTCTCTGGCACCATTCAGTTTTAGGACAGATGTCTATAAAGCAAAGGAGGGATATAAAAAGGGCTTTCTGCCTAGTCAGTCAATAGGCTGACAGAATGGTTTTATCTTCTTTCCCCTGATGCTTCCTTGTCCTTTTTTACAGACAGAAAGGATCTTGCAATACAGTGCAGGCTGGCTTTGAATTCACTGTGTAGCCCAGGGTGGCCTTAAACTTGCAGCTTTAAGTAACTTTCTAAAAAAAAGCCTAAGAAAATAAACTTAACATCACCTCCTGATGAGCCACTTATTGTTTTTTGTTTTTTTTGTTTTTGTTTTTGTTTTTTTTGACACAAGGTCTCACTATGCAGTATAGGCTGGCCTTGAGCTTACTTTGTAGCCAACGCTAGTCTCGAACTTGTAATGTTCCTCCTGCCTCAGTCTCCCGAGTGCTAGCATTATAGCATGAGCCACCACGCCTAGCATGTGATGAGCCATTTTCTATTTTTTTGTTACCAGGGATGGAACTCACAACCTTGCACCTAACAGACAGGCACCTGAGCCACTAGGCTAAATCCCCAGGCTATCATGAAAATTTCTCTATGTTAAACTTAAATCATTATCAGTATCATAATTGCAGAATTCTTAAGACTAGAGACAAACCCTTAAGGTTTTACTTTAAATTTCCAGGCAAGTAAATTGAACCCATGATGTAATGTATAATTTACTGAAGGTCATAAAATACTTGTTAGTAACAAAACCAGATAAACAGGGCTATCTGATCTTTCAAGCAAAATATACCCTTAAACTTAGTATCTAACAATAAAAAATATAGGCATCTAGGCCCTTTATAATTTCCAGAAGGAATAATCCCCACCTATTCAATAAGTGTTTTCTCAAGGTAACTTTCTCAGATTTACCTCTTGATTTTGACTACCTTATTTATAGACAACCCTTTCTAGGCTTTTAATCCTGTAACTTGACTCAATCCTTTTTAAATCTCACCTAGCAACCTTATCTAAAACTCAAAGAATGCTTTAACATTGACAGATGAAAACATTTCAAATTTTTCTGACACTAGCAAATTCTTTATCTTCCTACCGTTATTTGAGGTTTGAAGTATCACCTTAGTATGATACTTTTTCACACACAAACTGGAGAAAGCCTGTATTTCATGCAATTACTAATAACTCTAAAACATCCTAAGAAATTCAAAACATGACTGTATTTCTTTGGCATATTTCAGTTGGTATTCTATGAAACTAGACAGGATTGGGGCTGGGGATTTAGTTCAGCGGCATAAGTGCCTGCCTTGCAAGCAGGCAGTCGTGAGTTCGATCCCTGGTACCGATAAAAACGAAAAAGACAAAAAAAAAAAAAAAAAAAAAAAAAAAAGACACTAGACAGAATTAAATGAACTTGAAAGATTTCTTTGTAAAAGCGATTTACTTCTATAAAGAAAATCTCAGTCAAGTAAACAGCAAATGTAAATAGGCTTTTCTGATTTCCTCTTAAGACTTTCTCACAGGAGTCAGAATGAAGACTGACAATTGGCCACAGTTGACTGTCACCTTGGAGATTATTACCTGCACTAACATTTCATTGTGTATTTTCCTCCTGTTTCCTAGCATGCTGCCACTTCCTTCCCACCCAAAAGCCCGTTATATCCATACTTTTAATTCTATGTAATCTTTAACTACCTAGTCCTCATTGGAGCATAGTACATGAAATACTGCTGCCATGTTTCTGAATTTATGGTTCTTCTGCTATTTGTTCTATTATTGATTTATTACATACATTAAAACTGTCAATGCTTCACAAAGAAAAATTTGAAACTTTGCTACAGCTTTGCAATTCCAGTACTTGGGAGGCTGAGACGAGCAAACAGAGCTGAAGGCCAGCACCAGCTACATAGCATGAAGGCACAAAAACAACAAAGAAACAAAACCAAAACTACTCTCCTACAATGTTAGATCAATTTGCCTTTTTAGTAACATGGTTTTACATCCATGTGGCTCGAGACTTTATTGTGAAGGTTTCTCGTATATAAGAAAAAGGAAGTGCACCAAGGAAGCTATAGACACTTACTTCTGCCCAGTTGCTTGATATAAATGGTCATTTCGGCAATAAAGCTCCTATAAAAACACATATAGACAAGGTTAGGAATTTTATTGTTAGAAATTACTAAATGCAGGTCTCCTAATTAAGGCAGGCTTTCCAACTGCTTTAGGTTAAAAAAAAATCTAAACATCACTGTCCAATCCTAGAACAAAGTATATAAACTTCAAATTTATATCATGGTATTAAACAGTAAAATCAAAGTTGATGAGCCAACTGTTCAAGAAAGGAAAATGTTAAAGGGTTTTAAAGTCTACATTTACTTACTCTTACTCCAAAGGTTAGAGCCTGAATAACTAGAACACGTTCATTAATAAGGAATTTTTCATTTAAGCTTGGAGCCATGACACAGAATCCAAACTCTCCAAACTAGTTAGAATACCCATTAATTACTGCAAATCTCTTAAAACTATACATGTAAACACTTTGTATTAGTAGCTCCTGAGACAGAGTTCAGCATTTCCAGGTAGCTGGAAGCACCCCGTGGTAAAAGATAACTTAGCCTATGTATTACATTTACTTAAAGCAGGTCCTAGAGCACAAAACACACTTTTAACATGATAGCTAAAACTACTGGTAGATTTTAAGGAATAATTTAGGGATTTAGCAAGGGAAAAACTGTCCTTTGAAGCTAGGCATTCTGGTGCTTTCAGCACTCGGGATACACTCTAAGCTTAACTTGGTGCTGTAAAATAAAAAGTTAGGTGAAGCTTAAGAAAAAAATGTTAGACTCCTTCCTATACCTCTTGTGAACTGACCTTCAGGCACAGGGGCTTCAGGGGTCAAAGGCCACTGGCTTTGAGGGGAACAACATCCACCCTTTCATTTAATGACACCGATGACAGTATGTTTCTCAGCCAGGCTTAAAGTCAGCACTCAATCTCATTCTCCTCCACCTAGGGGGAACAGCGACACCAGAAATCAGTTTACAATAGATTCCCATGTGATTGCTTAGTTCAGCCTAAGCAGCAGCACATGTGTGTATGAACACAGACCTCTGGTGTTGCTGTCTGTTATGCCTTTCAATAAAAGACATACAAGGAGCAATGCTGTCCCAGCTCCCAACTGTCTCAGTCTCCAACATTACCATATCCTGAATTCTTTGTATCAGAAATTAATGATAAAAGTATTGATAGCAAAAAATAGTTTGCAACAATACGTTTCAGGCACACTTAGGTAAATTACTGTTCTTAAAGTCACTAAGTGTGGTTAAGCCCAACTAGGTCAGGACAAAATAGTAAAGGAAACAAATCGCCAATTACATATTTTCTTTATAACTTGAGATTTTCAAAGTCTGATCGCCAGTATGGTTGAGAATTCAGGATTGAAGAAAACAGTGGGAAGCAGGAGGAGCCATGCTCTGAACATCATTTTGACAGTGTCAAATTTTTGTTTTAGAAATAATTATTTTAGGTATTGTTAGATGCAACCAAAGAATAATACTTTGATTGTCAAGGAAAATATTTTCAAATTTGAGTAATTTATTCCGTGTAATTAAAGACAGCAAATAGAATCATCCAGAATATTTCCATTCAAACTTCCCCTTCTCTTCCAATAAAAATAGGGTGCCCCCCAGAAATGTCTAATCCATATGAGCCTTCCTGGGAGTAATAATTACTACACCCTGGAATGCTCTTAGGAAGAACAGCAAGCAGGCTGAGAAACATACTGTCACATAACAACTTCCCTTTATGCTCAACTTTATAAATTTAACAGAAAAAAATGCCACTAATTTACACCAGCATATGCTAATTTAAACCACACAAAGATCAAAGCTTTCAACTTTATGGTCCGTAAGTTTTAACAGGACTCTTAAAGACATCTGCAAACTTTCAAACTGAGTAAAATTTGGATCTAGACACAACACAATCTAAGAAACTTAACATGTTTAACCTGATCCATTAAAGAATATTTACAACTATCTTTAATGGTACCACACAGAATAAAATCACCTCTGGCTGGTATTTTAAATTAATTAACAACAAATCACTATTTGTGGTGGTAACTTAGGCTCTCAGATTCAACTGAGAACCTTAAAAGCATCACAGATTTTTTTTTCACACAACAACTAACATTATACTCTTATGTGAAAGCCACAGTAAACTACACATTACAAGCCAATGGTAATTCTTGTTCAATGTCATTTACTGCCTTTTCACAACTCACTACTGATCTATGTAATAAGCCAGGTAACACATACAAAAATAGAACACATCCAACAAGTATCAGAGCAAGCTTAACTTACTATACAAAGAAAAGAACGAAACAAGCAAACCTGTTGTGATCAGGACCCACTTGGGTGTACTTATATTCCCCTTGGATCTTTTCCTTTTGGAAATATTGGTTCAGGCGAGCCTTAGCGTTTTCTAAAGTCCAGTTTCCATGAAGCCCAGCATTTAAATCCACTTCTTCTGATTCTAGAGTCTGTGGAATCAGTGATAATGAAATTTGGCTGCACTAATTATAGTTTAGCTATGCATAAAATATTGGAATTTACAGTATTCTTTGTACTACCCTTTATATTGCAAGTTTTTAATTCTTTCTATTCCTAATCAAAACTGATCTAAAATGTATTTAATGCATCTACTGTCAAAATGAGTCATAGTTAATAATGTACTACATTTGTTTCTAAGAATCATTTAACAAATCTTTGTACTTTAACACTTCAAATATATTAAATGTAAATTAAACTGTCCTGTTAAAATGTATTTTTAGAGGCAGCAGGACTGCTCTAAGTTTGAGACCACCTCAACTACATAGTGAGACCTTGCTTTGAAACAAACTAAAAAACCAAGATCAAAACCAAAACACCCCAGCTATGGTGTTTAAAGAGATTTTCTGAGATAATTACATTTGCTACACAACAGAAAAGACCTCCTATTAACATCAGGAAAATGGTTTTTGGTTTTTTAAATGCAGTACAGGGGACTGAGCCCAAGTTCATCATACCAAGCAACATCCCCATTCTTTTTTGAGACATAGCTTAACTTCTTGTTAAGAGGTTGTGCATGCTGGGCTGGAATCTGCAATCCTCCTGCTTCAGAATCCCAGAGATCAACTGTGTGGCCAAGCCTAGCTAAAAATACTAGTTTTTTAAACATGAAATTTCAAGGACCAGATTTAATTAGCCTAGATTTTTGGTGACTTTTGTGAACAAGTAGTTTTAACCACTTAAAAAAAAAAATCATCCAACTACTTGTGAAGTAGTTGTGAAGGTCCTAAACCTTGCTATGAACAAAGTCCCTAATTATATTTCCAGAGATACAAATCAAGGTGGTAGCCTTACCGCTTCTACTTCTTGTTCCTCCTTTCTTGAGTAGTAGTCCTTCATATTGGTTCCCCGGCCTTCTCCGTCTGGGTCCTCCTTTTTTGGGAAGAAGTCCTTCACATCGGTACCCAGTTCCCAGGTGGATCCAGAAGCAGCACCAAAGCCAGATGCTCCAGCTCCAGAATCATTTTCTATTAAAAGAAATTGTTTTCCACATAAATCCAAACTTCATGTTTAGAAATTCAAGGTTTCAGTAACTTGTAAAGGAGCCTGGAATGTTTATGATTCACATGAAAAGTAATTACATCACTACAGTATAGCTCTAAAATACAAATTAAGATTAATAGAAACAATATCATAAGTTGCACACGTGTTACATTTTATAAAAAAAGATTAAGCACCACAACTGTTCCTTTACTAAAGACCCTAAAATGTTAACTATAGGACCAGTGATATTAAGGAAAAGCTAGAGACATAAAATGATGACTCTTGATGAAAAACCAGAATAGTAATAGCACTTAGCAGATTACTAAAAAACACTATATATATTTTATTGTTCAGTAATCCTCCATAACCATGAGGTTTTTGGTATTATTTCATAAAAACTGGAATTAAGACTAGCAATCTGACCTCCATCCTTGCTAGTTTACCCTGTAATAAGACATCCTAGTAAAAGTTTTGAGTATATCTAGATTCAGCAATGACTAGGACTTAAAAGTAGTTAAGCAAAAAAAAAAAAAAAAAAGTCTCCAATGTTTTTGGAAATTAGAAACAAGAATGAGGTACGGGGGCAGTAACTCAGTGGCAGAGAAATTTGCCTAGCATATTGCCAGAATTTGGGTCTGCAAGTGCTGCCACAGAAGATGGAGGATGGAGTATGGGGGTGGGGGTACATAGAGATCTTTTATTCAAATAGTGTAGTCTGAAATTTAAGTTTTAGTGAAAGATAACAACCAAGATTATGACATACATAAGAAAAACTAAATGGTCCAGTGATTATTTATAAGGCTCTTGGGTCATCTTTGTTATTTGGTACTGGGAATGGAACATGCTTGTACCATTGAGCTATAAATCCTTTGCCTTAAGTCACCTCTTTCAATATCAGGAGTTCACTACGGCTATTTTTTTTTATTCAAATTTTTAAAAAAGTGAAATAAATGACCAACCGAGTGTATCTTCTTAGTTCAAGACCCTTACCTGCCTTGAGAGCCAGATGTGGTGGAAGAGGTCCTCCCATGGTGGTTGGTAAACTTTCACTGTTTTTTCCAGCATCAGTAGTAGCAGTGTCAGTAGCTTCAGTAACTGGAGGTGGGGGAGGTGCAATCTGCAAGAGGAAAACTCGAATGTAGATTTCCTTCAAACTTATTACAAATGTATTATGAACCAATCTTTTACCTTTCTAAGGATTAAAAAATTCTTTTAACACCTCAAATAGGCCAACCTGTCATACTTCCTTCTCACCTTTAGTGACTGATCATAAACTATTCAGCTATTTGACAGAAAAGGAGCAGAAAAAACCTGCCACTTTGAAATGATACATACATTTAAGTACATTATATTACACACATAAATGTAATTTCTCATGAAGGTGCTATCAGCTTATGCTGTTTATATAATTTACTTTTTTGCCTTAGTAGGTTCATGAACACACTAAACATTCATTAAGTATCTTTTAGGAGATTCCATTTAGATTTCAGCTAGACATCTTTCTGGATGCTAAGCATACAATAATCAATTACGTTTGAGGGTTTCTCCCAATCTATTTTTATAAAACACTGCCCTTTTTTTTGTGATACTGGGGATCGAACTCAGGACCTTTCACTTGCCAGGCAGGTGCTTATGCCACTGAGCTGAATCCCCAACCCATAAAACACTATCTTTGTAAAATACACCAAAAACTTGGGAGAAATATAAAACAGAAGGTTATACAAAACAGAAATCCACTTTCTAATTAGATGAAAGCATGTAAAATTGATTTAAGAATTAAGAATGTTTCTGATTGTTTACTCAGTTTTGTACTCAGGTTCTCACAAACCAAGCAGCACTGCCCTGTACTTCCTTTCAATACAGTGGTTATTGGTACCTTTTAGCATGTCACACATTACTTTATTAGTAATAAATAATTAATTGTAGTAAAAGATATTTTTTGGCCAGGGACATAGCTCAGTAGCACAGCACCTGCCTGGCAAGTATGAGATCAGGTCACAAGCTCAATCCACAGTACAAAAAAAAAAACCACAAAAAATAAACAAACAAAAAAACAACAGACAACAAAAAACCCCAAGATATTAAATCTTCATTAAGATGATAACTGGGCTGGGGATTTAGCTCAGCAGCATAAGCGCTTGCCTTGCAAGCACGCAGTTGTGAGTTCGATCCCCGTACCAATTAAAAAAAAAAAGATGATAGCTGAAAATACCTTGTAATACTTTCATCCTCTTGAATGGTTTCACACTGTCTTGATATGTTTGATGCTATAGTATATGAAGTCATACTCAAATATTTCAAGGAAAGAGACACTATGGTAACTACTACTAAGTCGGGTTACCTTGTGGTGAAACAGTATGTTGCTTAAATTGTTCTGTTCTGACCTGTATTGTTATGGCCTCTTTTATCTCAACCTTCCCCCTTTTTAAAATTTTATTTATTATTATTATTTTTTAATTAAGGGAAAAAATTTTCTTTGAAATTAGCAGGATCTATTAACTTTTTTGATTTCCTATTAACTTGATTTGAAGCCCCGTATTGCTCTCACCATATTGTTTTGACTGATTTTACTCTATTCTGTTCTGATTGAAATTATCAATTTTGAGGGTATAGGCAACTACTTTCAAGGCAGTAAGATTCACTATGATGCCCATTCTGGTTTGACTATTATCTTCTTCTGAAGTTCAGTAATGTCTCCAATGTTTAGGTTTTATTGGTTTTGTTCTGTTACTGTTTAGGTCAATTTTATTATACCTGATGACATAGGTAATTCTTTTTAAGGTAGCAAGGGGCATTATGGTAACCAATGTTGATTATCTTGTATTCTGTCTTTATATCATGTAGTACGTCCATCCTTTGTTTTGACTGACTCTATTTTGTTTTGTCACATTTGGTTTTATTCTCTTCCAAAAATAAAGTAATAAGAACTGTGGGATTAATAAAACCCAAAATGTGTAAATGTTATTGTAAAAAAGGAAAAGAAAATGCTCTAAAGGATACAACTGCAACTGTGTTTAGGTGTGTAAGACAGATGACCATATTACTAAGTTTTTGTTGGATCACTGAACACAAACTGCAGTCTCACTGTCTGAATGTCCATTTTGTATGCTTAATTTTGTAACTTGATCAACTATTTCTAAGATGACAATATATAATCTATTAACTAGTGATTTCTTAACTGTTTTTTTTTTGAAATTCTGTATTACTTGTACTCTTTTACTGTTTTATTTTCTTTAAATTAAAAAAAAAAAAAAAAAAAGCTGGTCGATACTGTTTTCTTCTAAAACACAGAACGTTAAAGTTTAACTATGGGGTTTACCGAAAATATACTAGAGGTATACTAAGAATTTTAAGACAAGGGATGTGCACAGCAGGGCACATCAGTCATCTTAGCACTCTGGGAGGCCGAGGCACAAAGAACAAAATTTCAAACCCAATCCAATTTAGTGAGACCCACCTCCAAAAAAAGCTGCCAGGAGTGATGGTACACGCCTTTAATCCCAGCATTTTGGATCCTGAGGCTGGAAGATCACCACGAGTTTTAAGGCCAGCCTGAGCTACATAGTAGTACTATTCTTTAAAGGGGGGTGGGGGGGTGGGGGGGGATGATGACACACATGGGTAACTGGAATGAGAAATAAACTAAGAACTCAAAATAGTCTAAGAGCAGTCCTTAAAGCTATTGAAAATAGTTAAGTATGATTGGTTTGGGGTGTGCTCTGAAGGGGCTGATAATTTTGTATAGCTATGCTTTCTCCAGGAATGTGCTGAAAAAAAGCTAAGAAGAAAAAGAGCTATTTCTGCTTATGAAAATCTTTTTACCAGGGAAAATTTTATAAAATTAGAAGAATTAGGGCTGGGGATTTAGCTCAGCGGCATAAGCACCTGCCTTGGCAGTCGTGAGTTCGATCCCCGGTACCGATAAAAAGGAAAAAAGACCAAAAATAAATAAATAAATAAATAAAAATAAAAAGAAAAAAAAATTAGAAGAATTAGACACACTTAATCTAGAAGAATGACATCAAACAAGTTCATGAAAAGATTAAGTTGGCTCAGCAGGAGTTGAAATTGACTACATTAAATGATGTTTCACATAGAATCAATAGAACTTTTATTTTCCGTGCTAATTTTGCAATAACAGGTTACTCTCTTCGATCTTCTCCCTGAGGCTTTTCCTCTAACTTTGGCTCCATCTCATAATAAATTCATGGTAGTTCATGACAAACTGAAACTGTAAAAGTCACTGCAGAAAATGATCACTCTAACTATCCAATCAAGTAGGAAAGTGTAACTACTTTTCCAGTTTTTGGTTTTCACTGGGCATGTGTTATTTTCAACATAATTTTGTATTTGAGTGATTTCTTTTTCTCTGTATTTGTATGTTTTAAAACTACCTAGAATATGAGTAACTAATTGTAAATCTTCGGACAATTAGGTAGATACCTGAAATGTTTCCATAACCTAACAGATTGACCCACAGTACTGTTTTTCTTATTGTTTTCCCAATAGTTATAAATATAGACCATTGTACAGTAAACAAACAAAAAACTCCTCACACACAGAATGTATGTAAAAAGTGAGAATTATCATCCTGGGTCTCCATACAATGAAATTCTATAACCTTGTAACTGAAGTTCAAGAGCTACTACCCATAATAAGAGACTCTGGACTTCAAGATAAAAACTATGTGTGTGTGTGTGGGGGGGGGGGGGTGATATGCAAAGAAAAGCACCTCTCAATTTCCCTTATCTGCCTAAAGAGCAATGTGAACCGAACTGTCATATGTCACTCTCTGCCTTCAGGCTTATCAACTGATCAACCTGTAGAGAGTAAACAGTATTTCTTTCTTTTTTTTTTTTTGGTACCAGGGATCAAACTCACAATCTCACATTTGCCGGGGAGGAGCTTATGCCACTGAGCTAAATCCTTGTCCCACAGTAACAGTATTTCAAGAGAGGAAATTAAAGGTGGAAGCCAGATCCAGACTACCACCTATTGTGAGGACTTAGTGGCACTGTATGCCCATAAACCCATCATAAACTGAAAGTATAGGAAGTAAACTTTAGCGTGCTTATCCTACCCATCACAACTTATCAACACAGCACACTGTGTACTGCTGTGATAATATGGCTGAGAGTTTTGAGTTTCTCATACTGCATATTGGTAGCCCAGGGGAAAATTGCTATGATTTCTACTGAGTGCATATTACTTCCTCACCATGGCAAGTAGAACTAATGTAAGTTGGAGGCTGTCTGTATAAACTTCTAAAAACTCACTGGGTTTCTGATACTCATTTTCCTCTCATGTGATGCCACCATGGAGGTAATACTTCTGTAACTTCTCTTTTATTAATGGCATTCACTCTCCAAGAACCTAGAGATAAGGAAAGCCATTTCTGCACAATACACATTCTAAATACTTGATTTTATGTACATACCCCAACAGTTGGAACTTCTTCACTCTTTACTTCATTTATTCGAACCAAATAGTTAACAAAGTCTCTGGCAGCATTGCTCTGTGCATCTTTTTTATTAGTAGAATTGCCCATGCCAGTATAATTAAACCCTTCTACACGAACCTGAAAGAGCCAAGAAGAAGATTTTAAAGCTGGGTAATCCTGTAATTTCAAAAACCTGTAATTCAATAAACAGTCCATTAACAGATTACAAACAGTTCATTTTTAAATATATACTTTATGCAAAATTGGTAAAAACTAGCAAAACTAGAACATATAAGCGGGTCGAGGAAATAGCTCAGTGGCCCAGCACTTGGCTGACAAGCACTAAGTCCTGAGCTCAATTCTCAGTACCAATAAAACAAAACAAAACATTTGAAATTTAATGTCTTGGGCTGGGGATTTAGCTCAGCGGTATAAGTACCTGCCTTGCAAGCAGGCAGTTGTGGGTTCGATCCCCAGTACTGGTAAAAATGAAAAAAAAAAAAAAAAAAAAAAAAAAAGACAAAAACAACAACAACAAAAAAGAAATTTAATGTCTTGTGGTAACCTAATCAGAAAAAAAAATGAGTATTAATTTAAGTGGTACAGATATTCTCTTCTAAGAGAATGTTCTACATTAAAATCTCGTAACAGAGTCGGGGGTGCAACTCATTGGTACAGTGCTTGCCTAGCATGCACAAGGCCCCAGGGATCAACCCCAGTACTGTAAGAAAGTTGAATTCTAATAACCAAAAAACAAAAAGCAAAACAAAAGAAAAAACCCAAGCTGTTCACTTTAGGTACTGTACTAATTTTTTTTCTTCAATCTTTTTAAGACAGGATTTTGTAGCCAGGCGTGGTGGCTCACGCCTGTAATCCCAGCACTTGGGAGGCTGAGACAGGAGGACCTCTGTGAGTTCAAGGTCAGCCTAGGCTACAAAGTGAACTCAAGGCCAGCCTGAACTGCATACAGGCCCTGTCTCAAAAAGAGACAGGGTAGTTCAGGCTGTCCTCGAAGCAATCCTCCTGCCTCAGGGTTGTCAGTGCTGGATACAGGATTGTAACAACACATCTTGTAATCCCAGCACTCAAGAGGCTGAGGCATGAAATCACTGCAAGTTCGAGACCATTCTGGGCCACAAAGTTAGCCCAAGGCACCCCTGAACTGTACAGTGAAAGACCTCGTCTCAAAAAAAGCACTATTATTTAGTCTCTCCCAATGTACAACTGATTTTAGTATTTCCAAAACAAGAGGCATTCTTCCAAATCCAAAACAAGCTTCACAAATCAGATAAATGAATTATACCTCACACATGAACTTCTGACGGTTTTTGTTCCCTACTGCTCTAAATTCATAGGCTGGAGTCATCTTCCTTTTGCCACACCAGGCATACAGAAAATTTTTAATGTCACCCATGATTCACGAGTTTTCTTCAGACCCTAAAACACAAAAGTTTAAAAACACCATTATGACTGCAAAGCTTAGAAATAAACAATATTTGGAAAGCACTGACACCGAGGAGTTTTTTTTTGATACCGGGGATCAAACTCATCACCTCACGCTTGCCAGGCAGGCGCTTATGCTGCTGAACTAAATCCCTGGACACTGAGGATTAAGTATACAATTATTTTATCAAGATGTTATTAAAACGTCCTATTTAGAAATTTTACTAACAGGATTAGAACATCTAAGACATGCCTTAAAACACTGCAACAGAATTGTTCATAACACAAAAGAGGACTACCATAACTGCTCCATAAAGTGGCAAAATCAATGAGGCATTTGAAATGGGGTGGAGTATTTTGGTAGGAATTACTTGCAAGCCGGACATGGTGGCTCACGCCTGTAATCTCAGCACTCAGGAAGCTGAGGCAGGAGGACTGTTTTGAGTGCGAGACCAGCCTGGGTAACAAAATAAATAGAAAAATCCATCCCTGGTAACAAAATAAATAGAAAATAGGGAAGGTGCTTTCATTTGAAGAACTGAAGAGAGGAACACACTCAGACCGACCCATTAACTAAGAAAAGGGACTAGTTTTATTGGATGCTTTGTGGAAAGGGATCCGTTTGATCATTATCACAGTCCTGGTGTTGTAGCTTCAGATTCTGACATGACTATCACTGCTTGGGACAGACTCAGTTCAGTAGTCTGCTGCAAAGGGGACCGCTTAGGACAATGGCTGGATACTTCTGAGCAAAACTCAATGTCCCTGTAAATTCTCTATCTTGATGTTCTCAGTTTTGAGGGGGAACAAAGTAGTTTGTGTAAATTCTGGGCTAATCAACCTTATTTTGCCAATTTTAAGGCACTCCCTAAAAGATAAATATGCTTAATGCAAATTTATGAGAGGCAATTTGACTCAAAATTTACAAAGGTCAAACTTTGTTCCTTTTAGTTACCTATTGGGCAAAAGTCATCATTCCACACTCTAGTGATTTTAGTTCCCTGAATGCTCAGGACAACAAAAATCGTCTTTAATAAGTAACAGGTTAAGGGGCACAGAACTGAATCTGTCCTACCTATGTTGGTCTCTAATTGAGTCACTAGCAGACTATCCTTAGTTTCTGGTTCATACCATATTAGTAAGACCAAATACATCAAGTATTCATTTCTTGAACTGAAGATAGTTAAAGGTTCTGTACCACAGATTTCTTTTAGGTCTTCCTGTTCATCAGAACTGTGGTATATTGCTTCCTTGAACTGGACTGTGTCATGCTTGGCACTCTCCCTCTACCCAAATCTATAAAATATTAAACAATAGGGAGACTACCAGTCTAAACAGTTGAGTCTAAATCATAAACACAGAATCAGACCAAATTTGGGTTTGGGTAAATGAATCCAAAGGCCAATGGGTTCGTTGGAAAACTCTGCTGGGAGGCTGTGGTAAGGCCACACAGCAAGGCATCCAATTTTAAGGGAGTACCTTTCAATAGATTCTGGGATTTAAATTCAACAACCTCCCACGCACAATCTGGCCATTGAAGTCCTAAACTATATGGGCCGACGATACGCCTAAACCTTAGGGTTTTTTTTTTTTGGGGGGGGGGGGTACCAGAAATCGAACTCCAGACCTCGCACTAATAGCACTGCTCAGCTAAATTCCCAGCCATGAAATCTCTTAAACCTTGAGAGCCAAAACATATATTCTCAACTAGGTATATGGTGCACACCTGTAATCCCAGCACTTGGGCGGCTGAGGCAAGAAGATCTCTATTGGATTCATGACAAATCTGAACTGCACATAGCGAGACCATCTCCACAACAAAACAAAACCTTTCTCTCTCTACATCGATTATCTCAGGTATTTGAGCATTGATAAACCAGTAACGTCAATTTGTATAATCCACCCGATTCATTAAAAAAAACATGTAGAATAACAAAATACGAAAGAGTGCCTTATCAAATTTTTAAAAATAGTCTCATCTGGCCGGGCGTGGTGGCTCACGCCTGTAATCCCTCAGGAGGCTGAGGTGGGAGGATCGTTTTGAGTTTGAGACCAGCCTGGGCTACAAAGTGAGCTTAAGGCCAGGCTGAACTGCATAGCGAGTCCCCGTCTCAAAAAACAGGAAAAAGGGGGCTGGAGATTTAACTCAGTGTCATAAGCGCCTGCCTTGCAAGCAGGCAGTCGTGAGTTCGATCCCGGGTACCGATAAAAAGGAAAAAGACAAAAAAAAAAAAAAAAAAAGAGGGGGAAAAAAAGTCTCATCTGACAATATTCATACTAATGCATGTTTATAGAAAGTTTACTCCTTTTTTTTGGAAGCTCCGAAGTCAACTTCATCCAACAGAAACATTCATACACTCATCTGTATACTAATTTAGCATTTTAGTAGAAAGAGAAAATTACATTGCCTCCTCCAATCTGTTCCAATCCTCAATTTTTGGCTAAAATAAAACATCTAATCTGTTCCAACGGCCGTACATACATTCTCGTCAAGCTATCTAAATCACAACTCTGGAGTCGGAATCCACCTCTTAAATCCTTTTTGGCTAACCTAGCAGAATACTGTGTGTTAGAGATTTAGCCTTGTTGGAACACAAAACATTACTACTCCCTTTTTAGCGATGAGAAAAACAGTATCCTGGGGGATTTAGATCAGTGGTTTAAGCGCTTGCCTGGCGTGAGGTCGCGAGTTCAAAAAAAAAGAAAAAGAAAAAGAAACACAGTATCTTGCCGTAGACGACAGATTCCAACTGGAGAATGAAGAATTTCAAGGACCCCAAATCTCCTAAGCACCACTCCTACACGGTCTCCAATCCCTTTCTTCTCCCATCGCCCCGCCTCCACTACTGCTCATTTGAAGCAGCACTGCAGTAGTACACTAGTTTCCACCACCGCCAACCTCAAGCCTGTCGCTGCTCTAGACCTCACCACCCTCCACATACAGCGCCCTCTTTCAGTTTCTGGCCACTCTGGCCGCAAGATAACAACCTCCGCACTTTGCAAGCGGAAATAATTCTCGGCCCTAACGCTAAGATGCAGGTTTAAATAGCCCTGTCCTCCGTAGCGCCTTTCGCATCCAGAGCAGGGCTCTATCTAATCTTTAATGCCCGTTTTTTACCGAATCAGACATTTATTTTCACACCGCCTGCTTCTCACCGAATCCTAGTCCGCCGCAACCATACAGAAGGGCAATAATGCCCTGAACCTACGTGTTAATACACCCACAGGTCCCACAGGACATTTGTCACACGAATAGATTAACGAAAAGCCATAGGCGCTCGTGGCGTGGCGGCCGCAGCCACCACAGGCGACTCGGTCTCCCCTTTCCTCAGCCGCGACGTCGCGCAGCGTGCTAGGCCCAGGAGGAAGCGGACCTTGCGCACCCGAACAACTAGGAAGACGCGCGAAGGGCGGGGGCCGCGCGTGGCCGCGCAGCGCCACCAGGCTCCCGCGCACGCGCACACCACTGGGCTGCCGCCCCTCCCCCACCGGCCGGCCCGCGCCTCACAACAAAGCCGCCTAGGCGGTCACAGCCCGCCCGCTCCGCATCCGCGCCACCCCGCACGGCGGCCACAACTTTTCTTTCTTACCGGCCCCTGCTTCCCGGTGCCTGACAGTACAGCCCTCTCGCGACCGTCCGTCCGTAGCTCTGGCCTTCCACAGAGAAACTGCGGAGAACACCGCAACCCGCGTGGAGGAGGCGGTGAAATGGCTCCGACCGCTGTGCCAGGGGGTGGAGCCAGAGCTTACGCATGCGTAGTAGGCCAGCGCGGGGTGCGAGGGCGCCTTGAGGGAAGGGGCGGGGCTTCAGCCGCCCGCGGGGCAGTGGGAGAAGGGTTGTTCCACACCCGGTGTACCCTGGTCCCCTCCATGCTATCGTTTGCCACCCGCGCTTGGAGTTGAGAACCTGTAGTATTTTGATACAGCGAAGTGTTTTGCAACTTTTATCCTAGAGACCCAAAATACGCCACCTCAAAATACATTTCTTTGACGTTTCAAAATGGCTGTTCGGGGCAGGGCGTGATGGCGCAACACTGTAATTTCAGTACTCTCGGAGGGGAAGGCGGAAGAAGGACAAATATCAGCCCGGCATTGGCAATTTAGCAATTCAGAGAGACCCTGTCACAAAATAAAGGGCAACTATAATCTGTAAGGCTGCCCTCTTGTAAAGTAAATTTACATCTAGAAAGGAGATCCCCCCATTCCGGAAGTAGACGCATGTAAACAGGCTTTTCTATCTGATACACCCTCTTTGTCTAAGAAAGGTCTTTTCCCCGGGAAAGGCTGGGTCAGAGCCTCGGCGCCGTTCACCGGCTGGGCGCTGCCCGAGGAGCTCGGGTGCCGAGAGCCCGGGCCCCAGCCCTCCACCAGCTCTGGGTGAGCGGCGCCTGGAAGTTCTCCTTTGAGACTCATACTGTGTGATTTATTAGACTGTGTTTTGTACTTTAATGTTTGTCTTTCTACTTGTTAATCTGTTGTCTATTTTCCGTACTAGAGCCTTTTTATTAGTACATGGTTGCAGTACACAGCGATTACATTCCTTTGGGGAGGTGGTCCATGCACATAATGGTACAGGGGAATGAAACTCCCGACCTACTATGTCCGCGAGTTCCTGTTCTCTGAAATTGAAGAATGAATTTTAGGAACAATGGAGGTAAGAGTAGGATATATTTACTGAGAGAAACAAAGCTTCTGTCTGAGAGAGACAGAAAGGGTTCCCAGCGGGTTGCCCAGCACTGTCTTTTCCAGGGACTTTTGTAGAGTAAAACCATAGGTTCAAGGCGGGGGAAGACTGGGAACTCACAAGGCAGATGGGCATAAGGTGGGACAAAACTATAGTTAGCCAATAAGATCAGTAGTTCAGGTAAAATTGATTACATTAGGGACAAATGGGGAAGCGAGTCAGGTAGAAAGCAGGCATTTCTACAGAGCTGTGACTCTTCCCTAGGGGAGTGGGAACTATGTAGGTATCAATCCCAGGGTATGGGTGCATTTGTATGGTCTTTTGTCTTGGGGCCTGGCCCACAGCAGGAGGCGTCAGCTTCCCCAGCAGCTGCCAGATGTTTACACTGGCTCCATTGAGGACCTACCCCTATCTCACTGCCTATAATATTTCTAACTAACTCAGCTGCCTGCAACAGTAACACATCTTAATTCTTTTTTCATCTTCTTCCTTTCCTCTACTCCCAACTTCTATTTATTAAGCTGAGGCAGGAGGATCCCAATTTGGAGCCAAACCTGGGCAGTTTAGAGAACTAGCAGGACCCTGTTTAAAAGTGAAACAAAAAAATAAATAAATAAAAGTGAAACATACAAAAGAGTTAGGGATGTATGTAGCTCAGTGTGAAAACCCTGAATGCAGCTTCCAGTAGTGAAAAAGAAACCCACCAACAGTTGATGTGTGTGACTTGTTGGTAGTGTTCGCCTAGCATAGTCCTGGGTTCTATGCTCAGCACTGTAAAATGCAAATGCAAACATATATATCAAAACTTCAGAAAGAAAAAGAGTTGAATGTAAAACTTTCCTACAAACTTCTGGTGAGAGTAAGTCCCCTTTGAAACAACAGTGAATCTTGCCAGTAACTGCATAAGGGGTGGCCACTGAGGCTTTTGGTCAGGGGCAATTCATACAGCAAAATCACAGTGAGAATTAAATGAGATGGCAAGCTATCTCATTGAGATAGACAATTAAATGAGATGGCAAGCTAGAGTGTAGCTTACTGGTTGCACACGGGCTTACCATGCACAAGACCATAGGCTAAATACTCGGCACCAAAAAAATACGGATAAATGAGTAAATAAATATGTAAATGAGATGACATATGAAAAGGATTTACTTCAATACCAGGCACATAACACATGTAAAGTGAATCAGATACTTTGAAAGTCAAGGTTGAAAGGGTTGCTGGCCCAGGCCGGATACTGTAGCCGGTAAAGCCAGGGAGCTCCTATCTCCCCCCACCCTTGGAAATTACCTCTGGTGCCAAACTAAGACCAATGGGCTACCTGTGCATCCCTAATGCCCCTTGGGTTCCACCCCAGGCCGAGGCTACTTATGTGCCTCACTCCACGTGTTCAACGGAGAGATCGGAGAGATCGCTGGCCCCCGGGTGGAGATGCCATGCCCCAGGGGTTGGGGGTGTCTCTCCCTGCATTCCCAAAATAAAGGTTACTTATATTTTATACTTCTTATCTTTTCACTTTTATCAGATCTATCAAAGGTCTCTCAAAAGAAGCTCAGTGATGGCAGGGACACTCCACAGCTAGCCATGTGCACTCACTGTATTATAGGCAACTATGTTAGAAATTAAAATATGATCAGAGAAAGACTGTGTGCTCAAGGAAGTCCCAACAAAAAAAGTTGTGGCTAGAGGCAAATCTGAAGAGAGCCAGGCCTCAGGACAGAGATGCAATAACCAGGCCAGCAAGATAAATAGCCATTTGAGATTACTCTATAATTACCACCAGTTGGTCCTGTGGACCCAGATACATATCACTTGTATAGTTGGCTGACCAGACCATCCAGATCCATACTCTCTTCCTTTCTCAAAAATGCCTTTGTTCTTTCCACGAACTCTTGCTATGTGACTCATTTCCTTATGGGATCAATATCAGCTAAGCGGCTCTACTTGTAAGCCTGTAAATTGATTGTAATTTGACCCATATTACATTCTCACTGTGATTTTGCTGTATGAATTGCCCCTGACCAAAAGCCTCAGTGGCCACCCCTTTCAGTGCCTCTGTTGTGTTTCAGGTGCTTTCTTTTAATAAATCCTTCTTACTCTTAACCTCCTTTGTCCTTGGAATTCATTCTTCAGTATTTGGAGGACACGAACTTGGCACATCTGACAAGAGAGACTCTCATCCTGAGGCACGGTGGAGAAAACTCATCTCTGGATGACACCAGAAAGAGTTATTTCCAGGAGCACAAATATTTATGTGCTTAAGGAGTGTCTTTAATCTGCTCTTTCATATTTTCTCTAAAAAGTTAGAAAGTCTGTTCAGGCCCCTTGGTAACTAGTTTAATTTTCCTTTTTTGTGTGTTTTTGTTTTTTGTCCTTTTGAGACAGGGTATTGCTTTGTAGTGCAGGCTGGCCTTGAAAGTGCACTATATAACCCAGGCCAGACTTGAATTTAAGGTGATCCTTTTGCCTTGGCAACCCAAGTGCTAGAATTAGAGGTGTGCACTACCATACCAAACCATACTGTTTTTTTTTTTTTTTTCTTCTTTTTCAGGGAGTTGTTCTGTTTTGTTTTTGTCTTTTTCTTTTTTTATTAGTACCGGGGATCGAACTCACAACTGCCCACTTGCAAGGCAGATGCTTATGCCACTGAGCTAAATCCCCAGTCCCAGTTGTTCTGTTTTGGATTTTGCTTTTTGAGACAGGTCTTGCTATATAGTTCAGCCTCACCTTGAATTCATTATGCAACTCAGGTTTGAATTTTTTTTTTTTTTTTTGGTACCTGATAGAACTGTGGGGGACCGGCAGCAGTGGCTGAAAAGATAAGAAGTATGAAATATAAATATAAACCTTTATTTTTTTTTTTTTTGTCTTTTTCATTTTTATCGGTACCAGGGATCGAACTCCCGACCGCCTGCTTGCAAGTTGCAAGGCAGGCGCTTATGCCGCTGAGCTAAATCCCCAGCCCCTAAACCTTTATTTTGAGAATGTGGGGACAGACACCCTTGATCCCCTGGGGTGCGGCATCTCCCCCTGGAGTCGCTGATCTCTCCCTGTGGAGGCATATATGTAGCTTAGGTTTGGGGTGGAGCCTGAGCGGGGAGATGACGCACCCCAGGGGGTGGGGGGTGTCTCTCCCTGCATTCTCAAAATAAAGGTCATTTATATTTCATACTTCTTTTTTTTTTTTATTTTTTTATTTCATACTTCTTATCTTTTCAGCTGCCGCCGCCGGTCCCCCACAGTTCTATCATATAGTTCCTTGACTGGGAACAGCAGACGAGACTCCTGGGGTTCTCCCAGTTTGAGTCCCCTGCCATTCAGGACCAGGACCGGACTACGTCCTGCATTAATTCCTCACTTCTACACTCGAGAGCTGTAAACTTGTTGCTGCTGGCTCGCAAACAACACCAACCCAATTTACCACAGGTGAGGAACCCCCGAAGATTGCTTCTGGGCCAGGCCCCAGGCGGGTTTTCTCCCCCTTTCCGTGGGTTCGCGTGATGCTCTCATGTCCTTAGATAGCCCAAGGCAGAGTTTTTCTGGGCCAACCTGTGTCCACACTGGAAGATTCTTCAGAGTTGGGCTGGGGATTTAGCTCAGCGGCATAAGCACCTGCCTTGCAAGCAGGCGGTCCTGAGTTAGATCCCTGGTACTGATTAAAAAACGAAAAAGACAAAAAAAAAAAAAAAGACTCTTCAGAGTTTTTCAAGTTCTCACAGACAGAGCTGTCACTAACTCCACGGAAAAAATCCATTCGTATATATATTGGTGACAGCCAATTAGTATGAACTTTAGAACCAAAATACCAATCGGTCTAAAACAAGTAAAAAGTGATGACTTAAACTTAGCAGACCACAGTCCATTGCCTCATCTGGCTATAACTCTGTAGGCCAGACCCCACACCAGATTTTATCTTGGGGACCACTTGCTGTTCCCATCCCAAAAAAACCATACCTATCTGTGGTTTATCACACTGATGACAACTTTACAAAACTCTCTATCTTTAAGCCTCTCTATCTTTGTTTTGAGAATGTGTGTCCTTTCCCGCCAGCGTCCCCTTTGTCTCCTCGCCGCTTCCCCTTTCCCACCAGGCGCAGACCCATTCCCCTCCGAGATGGGAGGTGAGCCCAAACAGTGTTGAGAGATACGCTCGGGCTGCTTTGAGCTTTCACAGGCTGCTTTAAGCTTTCACGCTGCACCCTAATCCGCACGTGTGCCCTGCGAGCAGTTCTGGCTCCACGTGGCGGCTCAGCCCCCCGTAAGGTCGCAGCGTGTAGGGTCCCAGCTCCGCCTTCCAGCTCTACCCCCCATGTGTCGTGCGCCTGGCGCTGCCACCGCCACCACTCCCCAGCCCTGCATGCATTTCCGGGGGCAGTTCCAGCCCCACCCCACCTTCACTCTGTATGCCCCACCCCCACACTGGGCGTGCTCTGCCCGCGTGCCGGATCACAAACAGATAAACAGCAGCTCGGTGGCTCAGCTCAGAGATGCTATTTTTTACATTCTCAAACTATTTAATCAAGATTAAATAAGCTGGCAATAGACAAGACTTTTGCTGATAAACGGGGAAGTGGCCACCTGGTAATTTTACCAGCTTTGTTTATCAATTAAAGCCTTTGATAATCTCCTAAATGTTTAACACCTAAAATTAAGAGGTATTTATAAATTCCTTTTGCTGTAAACCACCAGTAATGTTCTATGTTAAGCTTACTGCCTATATTATACTGTATTGTCACCGACCTCCTGTTTAACAACTAAAATTAAAAAATAATTATAAATTCCTTTTGCTGGGAACCACTAGCTCTTTTCCAAGATAAGGGTTGTATGATACATGGAAAACAACAAGACCAACACTGCAGCAGAAGCCAAACTTAAACCTTTCCCAGCCTGTCTACCTGCCCTGGCTCAGCCCTCCATCGAGCCAGCATTAGCTATATTCAACTGATATTAAATAACACCATAGCTGATTTCTCTCCTAAATAAAAAGATAAAAAATTAATTAAACAGGCCATCCTTCAAAAATCAGATGGCATTAGACATTTTAATAACATAAAGAGATACATAAATGACATGTCAGTTCCTAAAATTCTCTGCACCTGTCCTCCTTATGAGAAGCCATTACTAAAATTATAAATACCCTGTTGATTATATTTGGCTCCTGTATACTTACTTAATTCTACAGATACCTTCTACTGTAGTCCAAATCCCAAAAAAAAAAAGGCAAAACTTGACCTTCAAACGCCACAGAGACCTTCTTTTTTTTTTTTTTTCATTTTCTGTTTTGTCTTTTTCGTTTTTATCAGTACCAGGGATCGAACTCATGACTGTCTGCTTGCAAGGCAGGCGCTTATGCCACTGAGCTAAATCCCCAGCCCCCACAGAGACCTTCTTAATATAGCTTTTTGTGTTTTCAACAACAGAGATAACAATAACACTTGTGACGCTAGACAGGTAAACCGACACAAGGTGGCGCTGTCTGCCCCCCCCACAGACCATGCCTCAAATGCAGCAGAAGACATCGGGCAAGAGAGTGCCCCATCTTGGTGTTCCTTTGGGACCTTAGCCCAGGGCTATTGGACTGTCCTAGCCATCAGGGAGTGGGTAAGCCATCCTAACTTCCAGCCCTCATAGGAAATGCCAACACTGCCAGATTCCTCGCCGACAGATCTGCTTAAACTTGCTGCTGAAGACTGACTGGGCTCAGGGCCAACAACAGCCCCCTTTATGGGTGTCCATCTCAGAGTCCAAGTCCCACTAAAAGTCTCAGGTAAGACATTCTCTATACTTGTGGACATAGAGGCCATATGTACAGAGTTCTTCCTGAGCTTTCATGCCACTATAATAAGTTCTCAAACTCTAGGGGGTATTGAGGGTCAACCTATGCCATTTACAAACAGGGCCTATTTCGTGCAGGTCCCAGACTGCTTCTTCCCAATCCACCCAGTGGTGCTGAATCTTCCCTCCACCACTCACTCTACAGTCCTCAATCTTAAAAATGCTTTTTATTCCCTTGTGTTTATATAGGCTGACCCAGACACTGAGGCCTCAACAGCTTACGCCTGTTATTGCTAGTAAACCTTTCCTCAATGATATTAAACCACCCCCTTCCTTCTTACAAAGTTAGGTAATAGTGTTAAGACTACAAAAGTGTAGTACATGCAAAGGGACTACAGGTGCTGTCTTTTACACAATATACATCTAGAATTTAGATACACAAAATGATAAGAATTTGGCATCTCCTTAAACATGGTCCCACCACTTAAAATTTAATCTACATCTGTTGGCTTTGACTAAACAGCATTTGGTTATTGTATAAATGACATACACTTGTAAATTGGATAAGTCTATTTGCAGTCATTAACACTATTCCCTAACTTTGTAAGAACTCATCTTTTGTTGTTTTTTTTTTTGGTCTTTTTGAGACAGGGTCTCTAGGCAGTTCAGGTTAGCCTTGAAACTCACTTTGTAGCCCAGGCTGGTCTCAAACTCGAAATGATCCTCCTGCCTCAGCCTCCCAGGTGCTGGGATTACAGGTGTGAGCCACCAGGCCCAGCTTTTGTAAGAGCTCTTCTTTATAAGACTTTGTCCTTAACTCTTGTTACTATAGTTATGCTATGTAAAACCTGTTAAAGGAGTCTAAGATTTGCCTTTAGTAAAAACTGAATATACATGAAGAGTTCTTTGTTCTTGTACTGAGAATTGAACTCAACCTCACACTTGCCAGGAAGGTAGTGTGCCACTGAGCTACATCCCCAGCCCTATGTTAGGATTTCTATATAGCTGTGTTACTAATTATTTTAAACTCATAGTGTACTAAATGATGTATGTGTTTCCCAAGTGTATGGCCTTCAAAGACACAAAACTGCAAAACATTTTATGCATTAGTGACTTCCAGTTAAAGTTGTTTATAAGTATAAACTTTTTCAGGGTCAAGCATCTGCTTTTCCTCCTTGTGTTTCAACTATTTGTTATGAAATGTGCTTGCCATACTGACATGAAACCACCAGCGATATGATGTGAATTCTTTTTCAAGGCTTATGCTCATGTGATTGTTATGTAATTGTGTTATAACTCTTAGTCATACTTAAACACTATGCAGTTCAGGCAATGTTACGCTAATTTTTTTAGTTTATTATTATTATTTTGGTACTGGGGATCAAACTCATGACCTCATGCTTACAAGGTAGATGCTTATGTTGTTGAGCTAAATCCCTGGCCAACAATGCTACTCTAAAGATCAAAGCTGGGATATTAATAATCTGCAAAATACTTCTATAAACAAATATATTCTACTTAAATGACACTCTATTAAAAAATAACAAACATAGGTAAAAGTTTATGTTACTAATATCTTGTAATTCAGTTAAGGCACTTACTAAAAAATTTTCATACTAAAATGGAAATTTAAATGTAATTCAAAAATAATAATAAGACCTAGTGGTTCCAGTATAATAATGCCATCATGGTTAACATGCCAAATGGTACCTTGCCCTTGTTTACAAACTTTCTCTGTAAAATTTTATAATTGTTATCTGCTAACATTTTACAGGGACTCAACTTCTAAGATAACCATGACGGTAAAGCAATAACAGTTCTCTGATCACAGTTATCTAGTTATAACTAGTTCTATCTAGTTATCTAGATAGAAGTGTGATTGTTAAATTTACTGTTTTTACTACAATATTAGTATAACTATTTCTTGGGTATTCAACAACTGAGATTTGGAGTCCAAATTTCTTTTTTCTTTTTTTTTTTTTTGGTACCAGGGACGAACTCACAACCTCACGCTTGCCAGGCAGGCGCTTCTGCCACTGAGCTAAATCCCCAGCACGGAGACCAAAATTAAGAAAGATTCTTTTCTCTTTTTTTCTAAATTTTTATTAATTTTAAGAAACTCCATACACTAAAGCCTTGGCCTACAGGGTGACACTGATATAGGGGAATGGAACTCCCAGCCTACTATATGTCCCGTACAAGTTCATGTTTTTTAAAATCAAAGAATGAATTTTAAGAACAACGGAGGTTTAGAGTAGAAATATTTATTGAGAGAAAGAAAGCTTCTGTCTGAGAGAGAGACAGAAGGGGTCCAGAGCAGGTTGCCCAAGAAAGATTACTGAGCTAAGAGGTCAGCCAATATTTTTGTCCTGATTGTCCAAGGGAAACAAAACCCCAGCACATGAGAGGATCTTTCTACAGGAACCTATAACTCTGGAGAAGATTGTTGGGTCTCAGAAAACAAGAGGAAAAAAAGATAGAAAACATAAGGAGACCAATGTACAGTGTGCTACAAAGAGGATCACCAAATTAAGAAATGTCTCCCATGCTTCCACAAGCAAGACCAATCCTGACAGCTGACACTGATGGAGAAGCTAAGAGGCTCTGTACATGATCCTGTGGGTAACCCCTGAAGAACCTAACATCAAGTATAACCAAAAGATATGTAGAGGAAAGATAGTAATATAAGCTAGACATAGAAAGGGATCACCACTCACTACACTTACCCGGTCTGGCAGTTTCCAACTATACCTGTAGCTGATCACGTATGATTCAATAAGCTTACGAAGCTACCATGGCAGCTATAAAGGCTCAGCAAGAGTCTTTAAATTCTTCAATTAATAATATCTTTCAAAACCACAGAGGCTGGGTGTGGTGGTGCATGTGTATAATTCCAGCACTCAGGAGGTTGACAGAAGGATCACGATAAATTCAAGGCCAGCCTGGACTACATAGCAAGCCCAAGTAGAGTTTGAATTGCCTAGCAAGATTCAATTTTGAAAAAAACAAGAACCAAGCTGGGTGTGGTGACTCACAATTCCAGCATTCAGGAGGCTGAGGCAGGAGGATCGCTGTGAGTTTGAGACTAGCCTGGGCTACAAAGTGAGCTCAAGGCCAGCCTGAACTACACAGTGTGACCCTGTCTCAAAAAAACAAAAATAAAACAAAACAAAAAAAGAAAAAAACAATAACCAAACCAAAAGGAAAAATACAAAACAAGATGACACCAAAACCATTCCCCCAAAAACCCCAGCAACCACCAACAGCAAAACTCTTGATCTTACAGCTTGTCATGGTTTATATCGGTGGCCCCCAGGCCTCATGTGTTTGCATTATGCATTTGTGATTGGTTCATTGTCTAGCACTTGGATTGGAGGTGTGAGTGCTACACTGGCCTAAGGGTGAAGCCAGGAGGTGATGTAATGGCAGGAAAAAGGCGTGTCTCTCTCTTGCCAGTTTCTCCCTTTCTGTTTGCAGCCATCATGAACCGTGGCCCAGCCATGCCACCCTACCTTGGAGCCAACTGAGTATGTATTGAAACCTCCAAAAATTGTGAGAGACAAACCTTTCCTTTCCCAACTTTGGGCATCAGGTGTTTTGTCTCAGCGACAAGTAAAAAGTAACTAAGACACAGCTAATACTGGAGAGACTTGTGCACTAATAAATGAAACTTGTGGTCTTTAGATAAATAATTCACATCAGGTGGTAAAAGATCTTAAAGCAGTAAAAGATATATCAGACTTGTAGATAATCTCCATAAGCAAAAGGTCTAGAATCCAGCTGATTACAATCCTTGTTGAGTCCCTTATGAACAGTGTCTGGATTTGGCTCTTTTCTCCAATCTGTCTTTCCCTTCTGGTGCTTATGCTTTTGCCATACATGCTCGCTCTCATTCATTCTCACCTAGAGAATTCATAACTGCTAAACTCCAGTATGACTTGTATCCATGGGCCCTTATATTAGCTCTCTGGAGAAAACTCCTGATTTCAGTCTTCCCTACACTGACATTTCTCAGCTTGAAGCAGCTCAACTGAAACTTCACTGCAGTTAAGGATACATCTTCAGAGGGAAAAATGCTATAGGGAGCTAGATTAGATGAAAATTAATATACAGTCAGAGCAGGATTGGACTCAAGGGAGTCAGCACATAAAAATATTAGAGACATCAAAATTGTGGCTGGAGGCAAATCTGAAGGGAATCAGTCTTCAGGACAGAGATGCAATAACCAGGCATAAAAGATAAATGGCAGTTTGAGATAATTAATTACCACCACTGGTCTGGTGGTTCCAGATAGACATCAGATTCATAAGTGAATGACCAGAACACCCAGACCCATACTCCCCTCCCTGTCTAAGAATTTCTTTAATCTTTCCATGTACCTTTTGCTATATGACTTGTTTTCCTATTGGATCATTACTAGCTAAGTGGCTCTACTCATAATCCTTTTTAAAATTTTGGTACTGGAGATTGAATTCATGACCTCGAGATTACTAGGCAAGTGCTTATGCCACTGAGCTAAATCTCTAGCCCCTCTACTCATAATCCTATAGTTTGACTCACATTGGATCTGCAGTGAGATTTTGCTGTATAAATTACCCCTCATAAGTAGCCAAAGTTTCAAAATCTTTCTCTTGATATTTTTTTCATATTCAGGGGACGTGAATTCAGCACAACTGACATCTAGAAAGCTGGAAGTTATATTTTTCCTACTTCAACTATAGGGCCTAGAACATTGTAAGATGTCAGTAAATATTACTTCAATGGATGAATAAAACCTGCAAGTTTTTTTTATTGTTGCTTAAATTGGATATTTGTCTTCAAAGTTTTTGGAATGATTTGTCATCTTGCTACTATAATACTCTCTATTAAATTTTGAACACTAATGCTTCCCATTGTCTTAGGAATTTTTTTTTATCTTTTTGAGACAGGGTCTCTATGCAATTCAGGCTGGCCTTGAACTCACTTTGTAGCCCAGGCTGGTCTCGAACTTGCAACGATCCTCCTGCCTCAGCCTCCAGAGTGCTGGGATTACAGGTGTGAGTCATCACGCCTGGCTTGTCTTAGGAATTGTAACTCAGGAAACACTAGTTCTTTGGTTTTTTAAAAAATGTGTTTTTAAAAAAATTTTGTGTTTTGGGGTACTAGGAATTAAACTCAGGACCTCGCACTTGCTAAGCAGATGCTACACTGCTGAGCTATATCCCCAGCCCCTATTTTATTTTTGTGAGACAGGATCTCACTACATACTCCAGGCTGAACTTGAACTCACTATGTAGTGTTGGAGACCACTACCAAGTGGCTCGGAGCAGGATTTAAATTTTTTTTTTTTTGTCTTTTTCATTTTTATCGGTACCGGGGATCAAACTCACGACCACCTGCTTGCAAGGCAGGTGCTTATGCCGCTGAGCTAAATCCCCAGCCCCTCAGGATTTAAATTTAACTAATTGGCTTTCTATGTTTATCTGTGAGTCTGTCCTAGGCCTTGGCCCCTTGCCTGGTGATGGGAGCTGATTCATAGTAAGTGAACTTCTATGAATCACTGGTCCTGACTGAGGCCTGTAGTGGCCTGTGAGGCCAGAGATACCTCCAAGGGCAAGATAAGGCTACAGCTGTGGACATGTGGCTCCAACCCCAATTAACAAGGCAGAGACTGTGGCTACAAAAATTATTCCTACAGTCTCACTTCTACCATGCCTTCATGATAAGACAGTGCTACTAAGTTGACTTGATTCATTACTTGGAGATGTCCTTGAAGTGACTTCCAAGGTCCTGCTCATTGCCTGAGCTTTCCTCAGTTTCCCTGCCTTTTGTCCTTGGTCCTAATAAAAGTGGCTAATCCAGAGAAGTCTTTGTCATCGCCCTCGGAGTCTCAAGCTCAACCAAAGGGTTTTGGCTCCCCTGGAGTCCTAAAACCATACAATTTGTCTCTTTTTATTTGATCTCTGCTGTACACTCATTTGGGAGATTGGAGATCTAGGTCAGGACCCGATAATGTAGCCAAGCTGGCCTCAAACTCATGGCAATCCTCCTGCCTTAGCCTCCTGAGTGCTAGGATTACAGGCATGCACGAGCACTCCTGATCAAAGCACCAGTTCAAATAACACTGAATCAATGTTCTGAAGGCAGGAGAGTAAGCGGCAGCATGTATAGGTAAGCAGTGTTGGTTCATATACTTGATCTTAGCCAAAATGCCTAGAAGTGATGTTGTTGTTTCATTACAAAGCAGCAAAACTTCCATTTGAAGAAAGTAACTGCCAGCCTGCTAGAGGTGCTGAGTTCCTGTCTCAGAACACTGAATAATGGAGTCACAAACAGAGGAGATTAAGAGTAGGAAATGTTTTATTAAGAGAAAGTTCCTGAGAAACAGGAGGGGTCCTGAAAGCGGGATTTTATATTGTAAAAGTAAAATCACATCACAGGTTACCACAGGTCAAACTGTAGTCGACCTATAAGCCAATATTGCTTTAATAGAAAAACAAGATTGTCAAGAGTATGTAGCATGGAGGGAAACAAAGGCATTTCTGGAAAGGGTAAGAGTGCAGGGCAGTGTTCTGGTCATCTATCTACATGTTCATTATGTTTCTACATGTATGTTGTATTGTTCAGGCTCATTAGTACAAATGGTGCTAGTTAGAGGACAGTTTTGAGTTGTGGTTTATCTCTGGGAGGCTCACAGTCCTGACAATCGTGTCTCCATTCTGTGCCCTAGTTTCTGCCAAGTCAGGCCTTGACCACAGGCCTGGCTAGCCTTATCTCTACTCTGATTCTTTCTTGAGCCTGGTCCTCTTCTTTCTTTTTTGAAGAGCAAAATATGTATTGAGAGAAAGGGAGAGACAGAGGGGAGAGGGAGAGACAGAGGGGTCCTGAGTGGATTGCTAAAGACTTTGCCCTTTCTAAGGATTTTTAAAGAGCAAAACCCAAAGTGAGGTAGGTCTAAGCTGGGGGGAAATGGGAAATTACAATGTGGGTGTGGATTGAAAATGTATGGTCAATTTAAACACCACCTGAGATGAATCGGAATGATGCTGAGTATAAATAGTCCAACTGAGGATTGTTGCAACCATTAAAAGGAGACCTAGGGAGGAAGAGTTGTTGGTTCACCTGGAGGAACTTGTCGAGTTTTTTCCTAATATGGACTTGACTGTTATGATCAGAGGAGATCGGGACCTTTTGTTGCTGAGAATGGCTGTGGTTCATTTTGGGAGGGCTTACATTGAGCATTCCTGGCTCCAGAGTGGATGGAAGATGGTGTGCTGTTCAATCTCCAAGAGAAACTTGTTACATTGGCTTCCTGATATGAACTTGGATATTTTTATTGTTGCAGAATCTCAGGCCCTCATTGTTGCTGAAGATGGCTGTGGTACTTTTCAGGGAGTATCTGGTTCTAATTTTTAAAGTTGCTTCTTGGCTCCGATGCAGATCCCTCAGCCTGCTGGCAAAAGATGCTTCAGCCTGCTGGCGCAGACATTTTAGCTTCTACCACTGATCTTTGAGTCCTCCTGGCGCAGATCCCTGAAACAGATTTTCATGAGCCATTGCTGTGGGCTCTAGGCTTCCAGTTTGACTTATGGGAGGCACTGTCATGGGATTTAGGTCTTTAGCTGACCTCATGCAGGTTATTGCCATAGGATCTGGGCCTTCAGCTGGATTCTCTAGGTCTTCAATATGTGGACAAATTTCCTGCACTTTCTTTGTATTTGACTCCTTGAGTGGCCATTATAGATAAGTTATGTGTCTGGTATGTAATTGTTTTCCTTGTAATTCCTGACTACAACAGTGGCATGAGGTAGGCCAGTACTATGGCCAATTAATAAGATTACCAGTATAATTGCTCAGGTAAAATTGATTAAATCAGGATCAAATGAGGAACCAGACACTTAGCAAGTTGGCATGAATACAGAACAGGGCCTTTTTTGTAGAGGGTTGGGTTAGTAGCTTCTGGCTTCCTCAAGGTGATGGGTACCTATTTAGAATATCAATTCCTGATGTTTATCCTTAGGAAGTTTGATTTATCTTTTGTCTTGAGAGCTGGTCCACAGAGGGAGGTGTTTATCAGCTGCAAGGTCTTCCCCACTGGTTCCTTTGAGGGGGCCTGGTTCTTTTCTAACCGCCTGTCAGTCTTTACCTAACTCTGTAATACTTTACCTAACCATCTGTAATACTTTCTTTGTTGGAAATTTCTATTAAATGTTGAAAAAGAATAAGAGCTACATGATAGGGTGACCAATAGAGGATAAAGAAAAGCATTGTATACTTAATAAAATCTCCATAAATTAAGTCTGATGATCTCTTGACATGTATCTCAAGTTTCTGGACACATATAATTATCTGGTTGCCCCAGATGCCTGAAGGCAAAAGGCCAAACTAATGAAAAGCTCACATTTCTAGGTAGCAGATTGAGATGTGTGAAATCTGTAACTGGGACTTAGAGACTAGACCTCTACATGTCCAATGGGTAACTAAAAGCAGAATGAAACATCACTACCTTTATCTATTTTTGTTTTTGTTTTTTATTTTTTGAGAGTCTTGGTATGTACTCCAGGTTGGCCTTGAACCCACTAAATATGAAGCTTTGCCTCAACCTCCCCAATGCTGGAATTATAGTTATATGCCACCACAGCTGGTTTCCACCTTCATTTTTTGTGTCTGTCTCATAAATTACCTTAAAACTGTGGGTCAGATGCCTGCTCACCTCTGTGGGTTTGTATGTTACTAACACAAGTAGAGTCTATAGTGCAAGGTTTTATCAACCTAAATTTAACTAGCCTGTTTCATCTCCTTCAAGGCTGAAGACACCAAGATAAGAGTAACTATTTTCAAGATTTATGGAAACATCTAATTGCCAGCTCTTCCATGTCTGCTTCCAGAGTTCACGCATGATGCCTAAAAGTTTCCATGGTTCAAAAACTGCAGTCACCCCAACTTCCAGGAAAAGCAGAACCTCAGAGACCACGCACAGGTCACTCCCCATATGGGAGCACAGAAACCAAGGATGCTCCCCTAAGCCAAGCTTTGAGCTCAAGATGAGAATCGACCTCCTTCACTTAAGTAGCTGTCCCAGAACTTCACAGAGCTGTACTTAAGAAACAACTCAGCCAGACCACAACTAGAGCAGGAGGCAATGAACTGCAGCTATGCAAATTCCAGCCCTCACCTTTGTTCCCCTTTTCTATAAACCCCAAGATTCTGTCAGTCCCTTGAAGACAGATCTGAAAACTCACTCTGCTTTGCACTATGGCCACATTGTATAAATTTCCCTTGCTGGTGTTTATGACTGCTCTTCTTTTCAATTGGCTTTAAGGGACCTATGACTGAGCCTGGTCCATTGGGGGCTTTTGCCTTAAACTCCAGTAACAGTGCTTTTTTTCCTTAATGACTTCTGAACTCCATTTTGAAAGGCTCTCTGAATGTTACTTTTAAGGAGATTTTCACTCCATAAAAGTAACAATAGCTGGGAATGGTGGTGCATGCCTATAATCCAAGCATTTAGGAGGTTGATGCAGAAGGATCATCACAAGTTTGAGGCCAGCTCAAGGACACCCTGAACTACATAGCAACTACTCCCTTAGCAACAACAAAAAAGGTGACAATAGAAAATATTTCAAGTTAGAGTTGTTCCTGAGTATCCCTTTCAATCAATCATCTGGGCCCATTATATCTATCTATCCCCTTTTATTCCCTTATGCTTTCATTGTATTACATTGTTCTTAACCCTTTTGGTTCATAGTGATCAATTCTTTTAAAATTTAGTTACCCCTGCTCACTGTTTGGAAGGGCAGCTCAAATCTGCAGGTGCACAGTGTTATGGTTTGTATCTAGACATTCTCCCAATGTCTCCTGCAGTTTTAGATGGAGCTTCTTCAGAAGTGGCTGGAGTGTGTGTGATTGATTCACGGTTTAATGCTAGGACTAAGGATGCTGGGATTGAGGGTAGGTGATAGCTGGATCAGTCTACTGATTTGATTGGCCTGCAAATCAGTAGATTGAATAAAATATATGGGACAGAAAGAAGCTTATCTTTCCTCTCTCCAGTGTTGCTTTTGCTGTCCTCTGCTGGCTTTTTGCCATATGTCACCCTGCCTTGGAGTCAGCTGATTATGGACTGAAACATTAACAAACTAAATAAGCCTTAACAAGCTAAATAAGCCATAATAAGCTAAATAAGCCTTTCCTTCTTTTGGGTGTTGGGTATTTTGTCTCAGCAATGAGAGAAAAGTAACTAAGACACACAGTGACTCCTGGTGAACTCGGAGGCCTCCCCTGAGAAACACACCAGTGGAATGCAGCAGTGGACACAGCAGACTGCGATGTCATCTGGGTTCAGACATTCCCCAGGAGAGGGCTATTGGCTGAGATCCATCTTGGAGAGGAGCCAACTGAGGTTGGAACTCAGAGCAGCTAGAGGCTGGCATCATATACTGGCTCCCGGTGTCAGGCTTGAGGTGAAACCAATTTCAGGTTGGCAGGAGGTCAAGGAGCTGAGTTCAACAGAAAGTACACAGTTTTGCAGGCTGAACAAATCAGATTCCAGCCTCATAGCTAGAAACCAGCCAGACCACACCCAGTTCAGTGGAACCATAGGTGCAGGCTTGCTGGGATTATCCACTATCTCACCATAAATCTACAGCTGGTTTTCTGGGATTAATCAGTGTAGCTCTGGACTCTGCCTGCTTTGTCTAGCAGAGACAGCAGAGACATGCCTTCCAATGGACATTTTTTAAAATTTTCTTTTTTTTTCCTGTTTTGGTTTTCTTGTTTCTTCTTGTTTTTATATGAATGTGAACACAGTTTCTATTTTTTTGTTGTTGTTATCCTGTTCTGTCCTTTTTATTTCTTTTGTTTTTACTACTTAATACCACCACTTTTACTTATATTGGGTTGAAATTTTTGTTTTTGTTTTGTTTTCTGAGGGAAAGTCTCACTGTACAGTCCAGGCTTCATTCCTCTTGCTTCAGCTTCAGAGTCCCAGGATCACAGACTTGGACCACTGCACCTAGCAGTAATATTCCTTATTATATATATCACAACTCTTCTAAACAATGAGTTCTGGGTTGCAGAAGAGGATTTATTTTTTTGCACCTGTCCATTAAGTTTTAGATCACAAGTTAAAAAGAAAGAACAAACAAACAAAAACAACACACACACACATACAAGTCCACTGTAGTTCTTAATTTCTTTCTTCTCTCTTTTCCTCTAGTTTCCCAAAGTTTGTGTAATCTTCCTTTGTTCTCCAGTTTTGCTTCTAATGTTTTTCTCTTCTTCCATTCCTCTAACCCCTTTAAACTTTTCTCCCCTGAGTGTGAAATTGCCATAATGAGGGCATATTTACTGAATACAATTTTCTGGTTTGTTTTAGATTTTATTTTATAACCACAAATATAGTTCATACAGTTAAAGGTGGCAAATTAATAGTTACCACAGTTTGTCATTTTCTAGGCTATATCTGATGCTATTGTTATTGCTGATTGTACAACTTTAGTCAAGGTGACATACTTGTTCTAACCAGTTGTTCTTCTTGGTATGCCAAGACAGAGACGGCCTAAGTGTCATAAAAATACAATAGGCCAGTGCCAAAGAAACAGGGGCTGGACCAAATAGGCAACAACTTCTCCTCCCCAAAATATTGAAGAGGTGGGATCTTACAACCTATTCAACCCAAAAGCCAGATATACCTGGAAGAAATTTCTGAGAAGTAGTTATTTCCTAAGGATAGTAAATACTAGCAATAAAACTGCTTGCCATAGCAATTTACAAGCATCAACCCAGAAATTAAACTTTAAAAAAGATAGAAAAGCAAGAAGACACTTAAGCAAGATGAACCCTAGATTTCCAGCTTGCCAAAGGCAAACCCAATGGGCAATGAGGAAGAACAGTTTCAATGCCACTCACCTTGACTCTGAAGTGTTAACAGAAGAGTAACAGAGAATCTGCACAAGGATCTAGAAAATATTAAATCAGAAATAATTTCTCAGATAAACAAAGAGATAGTAACCATAATGAAGGACATGGTTAGTGACTCTAGAGCAGACAAAGATTTTAAACATAGAAGAGTTAGGGGATTGGGGATTTAGCTCAGTGGTATAAGCACCTGCCTTATAAGTGCGTGGTCGTGAGTTCGATCCCTGGTATCGGTAAAAAAAAAAAAAAAAAAAAAAATAGAAGAGTTAGCCGGGTGTGGTGGCTCATGCCTGTAATCCCAGCACTTGGGAAGCTGAAGCAGGAGGATTGTTGCAAGTTCAAGACCAGCCTGGGCTGTAAAGTGAGCTCGAGGCCAGCCTGAACTGCATAGTGAGACCCTGTCTCAAAAAAAAAAAAAGAGTTTAGGAAAACGATGGAAACCATGAATACCCAACAACATGGAAAAGAAAAGGAATCCATGAGACAGATATCCAGGAGATTAACTATTACATGTATACTGTAGAATGAGCCAATATGAGGACAGAATATTCGATGTAGAAGATATGATTATGCTTCAAGATTATTGGAAACCCAAAATCGAGTTCAGTCACCCAAGTATTGTAATCTTCTTTCTAGTCTTCCTCACAATCCAAACAGTTACATTTGTAATCCCATTGAGACATTATTGGAATCACAGCTGGTAAATTCCAATCTACCATCACCAATGCAACCCATGACAAAAGACATCAAGACATATTCCAAGTTAAGGGCAGCCAAGGGGACCCAAGTTCATTTCCTGTGAGGACATGTGGACAAAGGCCTCGATCCTAGGCCTCCCAGCATTTATTATCTTGTGAAGAAAGGGAGGGGTCACCCAGGGATGAGTGATAGTCAAGATGTTGGGGATTACTGAGTAACTTGAGCTGGCTGGCCAGGTGCAAGGATGGCATCTCTGTAATTTGCAGAGATAAAGACATGCAGAAGAATCAATTTACATAACCTGATTAAGGTAGCAGTAGAATTGCTTTGGGGGGCTACTGCTTTGGTTTTGGATATGCAAACTCTGTGCCCTGAGGAGTCATAGCCTCTTATCTTGAGGCTCCTACCCAGTTGACATTCCCAGAACAAAATTGCTCTATGTCTTGCCAGCTCAATCCTGTAATGTGGAGAGCACCATGTGAGGAAACAGGACTGTCTGATGGCTAGACTTTGCACACTAACAGTTTGGCTAGCCTTATTTGCAATGCTTAGAGCCAATTGAAGAAAGAAGGAAATATCCTAGCCAGTCTTTCACATATCAGTATAAGGAAATGAGTCCCCAAGTAATCAAAGTCACAGCAATTGTTTTGGATTCAAAGGGAGACACTGCAGTTGTCTCCCACAATGATCATGAAAACAAAGATTTCCTAAGAATAGCAAGGGACCATAAAAAATCAACCCAACAGCTGCTAGGTGATGGAAAGAAGAATAACGTAAGATTGATTAGAGTCAATGAAAAATAGGAGACAGCACAAATGACATAAAAACCCTGTTCACAAAAGTCATTGCAGAAAACTTCCCAATCAGGGAATAAGAATTTGACATATAGATAACTGAGGCATATAGAAGTACATAACCATGATAAAATAAAGTCTAGATCAAGGCATGTAATAGACAAGAGTCCAGAAGACAAGAACAAATATTCAAAGCCGTTGAAGAAAAGAAATCATCTATAAAGAAAAGCCCATTAGAATCACAAGACACAAACTTTCAAGTCAAGGAGAGCTTGGAGTGAAGTATTTCAAGTCCCGAAAGAAAACAATCTCCAATGTAGGCTGATGCACCCTGCAAAACTATCTTTCAAAACTGATGGAGAAATAAAATATTTCCATGACAAAGAACACCTAAGGAAATTTATAAATACCAAACCAGCACTCAAAAATGTTCTGAAGGACATTTTAGAAAGAAATAACAAGGACTACAATTCCATGAATCCCAACAGAATGAATCCATCAAGCTAGGCAACTAAACAACAGGGAAAAAGGGAACCAACAACAAGAAAATAACATGACAAGGATAAATCAGTATGTATCAATTATAACCATTAACATAAATGGTCTCAATTCACCAATCAAAAGAAGCAGACTAGCAGAATGGATCAAGAAGCAAGATCTGAGCCCGGAGTGGTGGCTCACACCTGTAATCCCAGCATTCCAGAGGCTGAGGTGGGAGGATCCTTGTGAGTTCGAGACCAGCCTGGGCTACAAAGTGAGTTCAAGACCAGCCTGAACCGCATAGCAAGACCCCGTCTCAAAAAAAAAGACAAAAAAAGAAAAAAAAAAAAAAAAAGAAACAAGATCCAACAATATGCTGTGTACAAGAAGCACATTTAATTCAAAAAAATTCATAGAATTCATAGACTGAAAGTCAAAGGATGCCATGTGACATGTGCCAATGTGCCACAATATGCCATGTCACAATATGCCATGTGACAGGAACCTGTCACCATGGAAAAAAAAGTGACGATATGTATTCTATTTGCTGAAAAGTGAATTTCAAGGTAAGACTAAGAAAAAGAAGGTCCCTATATCTTTGTAAAGGGAATGACCCAAAAGGAAGAGATAATAATCATAAATATATATATATGCATCAAATACTAACATACTTAACTATATAAAATAAGTATTAACAGACATGAAAAATCAAATAAGCACAAATACAACTGTAATGGGGGGGGCTGTAATACTCTGTTGTCACAAATAGATCAACTAGACCAAAAAAAAAAAAAAAAATCAAAGAAACATCAGAACTGAAACAAACTTTTGAACAAATGGACTTAGTAGATGTCTACAAAGTGTTCCACCCCACCACAACAGAATACACATTTTTCTCAGTTGCACAAGGAACCTTCTCCAAATAGACTACTTACTAGCTCATAGAGCATACATAAGTAAATGGAAAGGAATTGAAATTATCCCATGCATATTATCAGACCATAGTGCAATGAAATTGGAAATCAGTGGCAAAAGAAACCACAAGAACTTCAGAAACATATGGCAACTTCACAAACATGGAAATTAGATGACATCTTCCTGAACAACCAATGGTTCACAGGTGAAATTAAGAAGAAAATAGATTCTACAATTAAATGATAATGCTAATACTGTAGCAGAAAATGCCCTCCAGCCAGTCTATTAGTTGCCTAGGCACCTCCAATCTACTTCACTTCCTGTTACTGGTCCTGTTACTTTTGTTTCTTAGAACTAACTGGTCAATGTCATGCATAGCTAGTCACTATGATGCATATTGTAAGAATCAATCAGGGCTGGGGATTTAGCTCAGTGACCTAAGTGCCTGCCTGGCAAGCACGAGGCTGTGAGTTTAATTCCCAGTACCACCAAAAAAAAAAAAAAAAAAAAAAAAAAAAAAGAATCAATCAAAGACAGATAAGTATTCTGTTTCTGTACTTCCTGCTTACAGACTATATAAAAATGCTAGCCCACCACTGTTTAGGGCTTGATATCTTGAGAATGATACTGATTAAGTACCTTGCTGTCAAATAAATCTGCCTCCAAATCCTGGATCATATTTCCAATATTTCTGTTGCTGTTGCATTATAACAAAATGGAATTTATGGGACACAATGAACGCAGTCCTATGCAGAAAATTTGTAGCGGCGAATTCCTGTATCAGAAAAACAGAGCAAGCTCAAATAAACTAATGTTGAACCTGAAGCTTTGAGAAAAAAAAAAAAGAACAAGTCGATCCCAAAAACTTGTACTTGGGAGGAAATTAAAAGATCAGAGCAGAAATTAATGCAATGGAGACTAACAAAACAACATGAATCAATGAATTAGAGTTGGTTCTTTGAAAGATTAAATAAAATTCACAAACTCTTAGTCAACCTTATCAAAAAAAGAAAATACTCAAATCCATACAATTAAGAAAATGGTGAAATCACTATAGATCTTGCAGAAATCCAGAAGATCAGTATCTACTTTGAGAAACTTTATTCTAATAAGATGGAAAACACAGAAGAGATGGACAGATTCCTAGATACATATGAATTACCAAAACTGAAACAAGAAGTTATAAAAAAATTTTTTTTCTTTTGGTACTAGGAATCAAACTCATTTATCTATTTTTGGTATGGGGAATCAAACCCATGACCTTGTGCATGCCAGGCAGGTGCTTATGCCCTTGAGCTAAACTCCTGGCCCTAGGAACTGAACTCATGACCTCATTTGCCA